ATATATCGAGGAGGTTTCTTAATCCATTGTACGAGGCGAAACGAGCGAGATATATCGGGCCGCGCGCGTCTCGTTGCGTCACCTTTCTACGCCCAACCTGCCGTGAAATATTATGAAACACGTCATAGCCAGCTGTGTACCTGCAACCGCGACTCGATCCGTCAAAATTGCACAGCGTCGAGCAGCCGCTTTCGAGGTGCATCGCCGGCATCCTCGCTGCTTCGATGACCTCCAAGGACGATGCATCACGACGAGAGTGGCGTGAAAGCGAGTACACGCAAGTTTTTTTCTTGTAATTAACACACAAGTTTGCGGAAACAGAAGATACACTCAGCTATACTCGGCGCGTTCCCAGAATTTATAATTATATGTCATAATTTACTATTATATAACTCATTTTCGACGATTAAAGAGTTTTCAAACGTATATAAAAATATTTTTCTCAGGTTTGTGGAACGTATGAGAAATTTTCTCAAATAATGAAAATAGATGAATTCTTTTATATATTATATAATATTTATTCCTTCTTCTTGTAAAACTTTGTGACTAAGCATATAAATTAGAAATTTCATTAATGCAACCGAGTAGAATCGGCAATTTCATTGAATTATAGAAGGAAATAAATTTCTCTTTCTGAAATATAAATCACACTAAAAATCAAAAGATACGATCAACATGTGAAATCATAGCAACAAATCGTTTCCATCAATTTTATGATTATTTTACTTGTGCCAAAGAAAAAGTCATGAATTTTTAGACAGCTGCCTGTATTAAAGTTAGTCAAAGAATTATTTTACGCTGCTTTTTGATTACATTTTTTTTGTTTTTCTTTGTGATATTTATATAAATGCACCTCGTTAAGTGCTTTCGATTATGCTTGTTGCACGCCTCGCATTCTCTCCCATTCGTTAAAACTCTAATGGATAAATGTTACAATCGTCCCAGCGTATCTCTCTCGCGCTCTTTCATCCGCTTCCTCTTTCCCGAGGCGGGGAGGGTTCTCCCTCTCCGTCGCAAGGACGAGATTTTTATAAATTTCTCGCGAGCGTGAATGTGTATTCGTATTATGTAGGGCGATCGCATTGACCTGACACCCGCATGCAACGCGATCCGAGCGGATCGCCAACCGATCGGCAGCGTGTGAACTCGGTTATATTGTCCGACAGCTCGCGCGTTTACGAGATTCGGTGTAAAAGTGAAAAACGAGAATAACACCGGAGAATGCTCGTGAATTACAAAATCAAGCAGGCGTGATAGGTATAAGCTGAACGCAAAATGGAAATGAAGTTGGCATGAATACCGTAGAAACTCGGATATTTTCTTTGAGATACTCTTTCCCATACGTGAAAAAAAAAAAGTTACGATGTATAATATTAAGTACATATATCATTATAGAGAAAATTATGAATAATTATATTTTCATAGACATGTTAGAAAACAAAAACTGCAACCGTAATCAACAGTAGTATTATATAGCTATCTTTTTTTGTCTACATATTTTTCAATCAGTTTTTTACTTTTTTTCATTGATCGTGAGATTCGCAAATCAATGATTTGCATCTAATAATATCGTTGGGAAAATAGAAAGTGTAACCATGGCTGAAGTTCTGTTCTGTAAACGAGCAAAAATTTTGGAGTGATGGAAGAATATAATCTCTCTTTCTCCCTCAATTTCATTCAATATAATATTATACTTCGAATCGTAATCACCCAAACTAAGTGACAGTTAGAAGAAAGCCGCGGAGAAAGGAATCGCCGTCAGAATTTTGAATTAGCTGCGAACACTTTCACGAAGTAACGATTTTCTCGATGTGTGTACGCATATTACGGTCACCGACACGAGGACCAGTTTCTATAAGCCTTCTATCAAGATCATTGTTACTATAAAAACAGTTCACGTAAGAGACTTGTTTCATTGTTACTATAGAAACAGTTCACGTAAGAGACTTGTTTCTGACAATAAATTGGTACAATAAATAAGATCATTTTTTAAAGTTAAAAAAAACTTGGACGTGATTTTACATATACATAATTACATTGTTCATGTAATCATTATAATTCAGAGATATGCGGCTAAATAATTCATGCCTATCATTGGATATCACTTGATAATTTCTAAATACAGAAATGTTGTTGATGTAGAAATATTATAGTCAATTTCCTCCCACGTTTCTCGATTCTGCTCAAAAGTTCAAACAACCATAGCGAACTTAGTAGATCTATTATAATTTTATTTAAATTAATGCTTTTGTGTGTGTGTGTGTGTGTGTGTGTGTGTGTGTGTGTGTCAGAGAATATTTTTAAAAAATATTTTCTTTATTTCTCATTAAAATAAGTATTTTATTAGTGTCACTTTCTCTTTTTATTAAGAATAAAAATTTGAAATCTTTGTATATCTTTAAAAAATCTTTTTCTTTAATTTATTATAGTTCGAATATATATATATATATATATATATATATATATATATATATATATATATATATATTACTCGCGTATCTTGTCTTATATGATATATGGAGGAATCGTGAGAATACACATTTCATTAAAGTATTTTTATTAAAGAAAAAAATATTATTCCTATTTTCGACAAGAAATCTTCCCACGCGTACACCAAACACACATGTTACGAAATATTGTATATACTTTCAAATACTTCAAGCTTCACATGCTTCAGAAACATATAATCTCTTATGCAAAGAGATTGCATTTTCTCGGAGGAATTGTCGGTATTATGTATGCATCGACAAGGAAAATGCGGCTTCCGCGAAGGACGAAATGAATCAAGTGACAGTAGCAGATCGTAGCAGGCAATCGCGCGCGACATGATTTACTTAGCTCCAGACGTCATTAAATAAATTTCAAGGATTTCGAGGTGGTGGTCGTGGAAATGTAAAAGCGGCTCACCTTAATATAAAGCATATTATATATCTACATATCCCGTTTGTCGCACCACTAATCTAGTTTTCATTATATTTTTATCTCTTTATGGAGAAAATAAAAGGCTGCAAATTTTCGATAAAGTAGGTCATCGTTAGAGCGTGTTTCGGGACAGATGGGTCTCCCCTACATTTCCGGTGTGTCCTGCAACGTACAGTCCAAGCTTTTAATCTCTCGACTTGAAAAAAGTACATTAACGCACATTAATGCGTATTTATTTTAATGATATTCTAACGATACTCTAAATTTATCGACGTCATTTTAATGAAAATCTAATTAAATTTGAATTTTACAAACTTTAATTTAAATTTCTGATACAGATTGTGTATTAATTTGTATGACTCGGTACACATATAACTTCGAACATATGGATATAATAAATTTTATTTTACGATTATTTAACTTGATCGAGATTTACGATCGTGAACTCATTTATTACCATACACGGTCTCACATATGATAATTAACGATCTGCTTGCGTTGTAGTAAAATATTCAAGTACGACAATAAAACAGTTTTTAATCCATGGCATTTGCGGCGGAAAAAATGTATATTGCGTGGAATTAACACGATTATTAGCAATGAAATGCGCTCCACGAAATAGAATGGGATATAACTCGACGATACTTTTACTTGTTGACATTTAAAAACAAAGTGTTCTCGCTCACCAAAGAATCCGAGATGAGTTTCGAGATGTCATAAAAAAAAAGTTTCGACTTTAACCATTTTGCGAATTTTGGGAGAATATAAAATGGCACGAGCCAATGACAGAGCTCTTTTTCTGCGGATATACCGGGTGACCTCGAGACACCAGAAAACCAACGAGGACGAGAATTGGAAGAGTGGGCGGTACCTGTTTTGCTCGCTCCTCTTATATACTCTCCTTTCCTTATTCACCAGGGACAATGCAGAGTGCAATATGATTTTATTAAAGAAATCCACCTTTTCCTGTCTCTAGAATTATGAAATTACATTCGACAATTTTTATTCGATAGCTCATTCTCACGAAAAGCAGAACAAGTTGACTCTTGTTGATAATCGCTCTTTAAATTTTGGTCTCACGAGAAGTGTTTTATCGCCGATAATTGCTCTCACGCTATCAAACGCGAACACCTGTTTTCATGTTTACTTGACATTTTTTCGCGCGAGATTCGCGAGATCTTTCACTGTCATAATCAGATAATAAAACCCACGCGAATAATTTAGAGAAATTTGTTCTTTTCTGTTTTATTTGTCTATCGAAAAGTTTTGCCATTTATAATGTTGCACTCGGGGAATGCGGTTTCTTGTATAGGCGTTACTCGAAAAAAGGCTGGGAGGATACACGCGTACATGCGTCTGCTTTGCATTTTGCGAGAGATCGAACGCGAACGATAGAAGGCTTTCAGCGAGGAAGATTCTCTTTGTGAGTTGCGCGCCCTTTTTTTCTCGCCACGCATGAAAAACAATTCGATATATATCTGAATTACGCAACTATTTTCCAAAGTGCATAACAATCGATGCAATATTTTCTTTTTCTTCTTATTTGCGATTTGTTCGCGCTGAGAAGAGAAAGAAAATATAATCTACTAACTTGAAATTATCATAATAAAGTAATGAAATCTCAAGTAATTAATTAAAAATAATAAATAATTAAAGAATTTTTACCAAAATGAGAAATTAGGTAACAACGTTTGATTACTTTAATGATGCAAATTTGGTGAAAAAGTAATTTAAAGAGTTCTTAAGAGTAATAAAAATATTAAAAGTTCAATAAATTGCAGGAAATAAATTTGCATCATCTTTTCATAACTAATTAATAACATGATATGTAGAAATACTGACAGCCTATATATTTATTATAATGGGGTATCCATGTAAAACACGTGTGACTATCGAATCGCTCATTGCTTCGTCAAAAATGTTGCAGTATCGATTTCTAAATAATGCACTTTGATGGTAAGGCCGCTCCTTGTAACACGATTCCTGTAATCTAATCCGCCTCTCGTTTTCTTACGTCGATTCTACTTACACCGCTTTCAAAACCAGACTCTATATCTACATCTGCGAGACATACGTGCCTTGGGCGTGCACGACGCTTGCCACGAGGGGCAGGATGATCCCGTACACCAGTATCATTCTCTCCACGGATCGACGGGACGCTGTGATCACGTCGACGATCCAGCGAACCAGGGACCAACTCGATGCGCGAACATCCGCGGGGCCCCGCTAAGGATGTGATGACTTCTGAGGGGAGCACTCGCGCACACGCGAAGGAACTTTTACGATGAAAACGATGTCCTCGTCGACGTGAAACGATCGGAAATCGAATCGATATTGAACGCTTAGAGTAGATTTCAAAATCAGCTCGACGAACGATTCTACGGCTGGTCCTTCAATTCTTGGTTTCGCTGATTGTTTGCACTTTCTTAACAATCTACGCACTTTTCAGTCCGCGATCAGATGCTTGTCGTAATCCAAGACCTTCGGATTAATCGCGATGCTGTTCAACAGTCATTGTTTCTTCAGAGTTCTCCATGACGTATCCTAATCCTTTGGTCATCCTTGACGGCTCGATAGATTGTATTTTCAAATTTGATATAAACGCGGAACTACGCAAACCGAATGAAATATCAACTCGACGGCATTTTACTCGTGATTTGCTCGAGTCGGACAACCCGATCCGTTCCCTTCACCGGTCGACCGTCGAGTGCCTCGGGCCTGAGGCCCTCTTTGCTCTCTCGACGATGAAAGTCCCGCGCTGAGACTCGACCAGCCGAGTCGAACGAGAGTAGCGATTATTACGTTCAATTGCTAAGTTGTATACGTAGTGCAATGTTAGATCATTAGATCTTTGCATACTCTTAAAAGTTCCATTCCTGCTAAATGCCACGAGAGAAGCGCATCGAGTACTTGTACTTTTCGGTTTCTAGTCCACACAGAGAAAAATATCATTCTACTGTCAAGAAAAGCGATTACTCAGTTTTTGTTTTTTTTAAGTAATAGTTTTCTTCAACAAAGAATATATTCTTGATAATAATCTTAAAATATACTCATCACAAGTGTTAAAAAATCTCATTATCATGTACTCAAAAGAAGAATTTATTTTCTCTTCAAGAATATTGTAAAGTTGTATCAAAGAAAAATCAAACTTACTTTACATCAACTCGTCTAGTAAGCAAACCAAATTTTTGTTTTAATTTAATATTCTTGACTAAAATACTGCACTTACTAAAATTCAGAATATATTCAATTAAATTTAATGCTTGTGGTAAACTTATGATATATTTGCGGATATACAAACTTATGATATACTTAAAATAAATAATATTTACTTCAATACAGTATACATTTTTCTCTGTGCAGTTTTCATCCAGAATATAATCGAGCATCGTGTTTCTAAGCTATATCGAAAAAAAATATAGACAATCTAGCGTATCAATTCAAAGAATCTAAAAAATTTTGGAAATTTTTTCAGACAGAAAAATCTTTAATTGGGTCAGTAATTCGTGGGAAAAGGATATGATTTAATTTTCACATTAAATTGTGAAAATGAAACAATAATATTGCTTTAACAGCGATTAAAGAATAAAAAGATAATAAAATTAATTCCTAGCAATTTTAATAAGATCTAATATTCCCGTAAAATTATCGTGCAAAAAAATATATTAAAATTTTCTTCGCAGATTAAAAAATATAATAAATTAATGTACCTTCTCAAAAATAATTGGATAGTGAAATTTTGGTAATGCAATTATTACATTGATGAAAATGCTAATATTTTAATTTCATAACAAAATAAATTCTGAATTCGATACAAATATTAATAAAACATTTTGCGAGAAACTTGTTTTATTGCTGAAATCATGAAGTTAATAATTCCGGTTTACATAATATTGCCAAAGAAGCCAATAGAGTTTCCTAAATTTCTTAGATTCTTCGAATCGATATGCTAGATCCTATCTATGCTCTAATTTTTCTTTGACAACTTAGAAACACGATGTTCAACTACATTCTAAATCAAAACCGGACTAGATCGAATTACTGTTTATGAACGATCGACCCCCTTTAAAGTTTGCAATTACATTAAAGGGAGACCGGTTCTATCATGAATATATATCGAATATATCTATAATAATAACCTATATATACTTACATATCCGCGATAGAACCTTTAATGTATAATTAATATACACAGTAAACAATTGTGCGTCCATATGTTAACATTTTCTTGTGTTATCACGTTTTGATTAATACTTCAATGTAAAATTAGCATACAACCTATATGTTTTTATAACGTTTTCATGTGTTACATTTATGTCACCTTCATAACTTAACACTTTGTATGTCTCTTAGAAATAGAATATTATTTAGAGTATTTTTAACATAATCATTTTAAACAATCAACATGTCTCAAAGTCAGTTTAACATTCTAAAAAAAATTAAAGTGAATCTTCAAATAATCTTGAACTTTGACATACAAAAATAATCAAATTTAAAATCAAATGTTTCTATTACAAATAATTTAAGTTAAAATAATTACTATTATATGTTAATGTCCTCAACATTTCTTACGAGTTATTGTAACTATTTTTTCATGTAATTTTTAATTAATTTGTATGTTATTTTTACATTACACTTAAAGTCACAATAACAAAAATAAATGTAAAGTATTGCGTCAATTATTTAACATTTTTAATTTGTCAATAAGTAATATACGACGAATGAGTTATTTTAACTTAAAATTTAGAGTGAACTTTCTAGGACATGTGAAAAATGTTATAAATTATAATTAACATTTTAGTTTTTATTATGTATATATATATATATATATATATATATATATATACATAATGTACATATATAAAAAAAAAATATCCATGCAAAAATAAATTTTTTTTCATAACGAAAATGCCACTTGATCTATCTTTGGATCTTTTAAATTTGATTTCACAGAACTATTTTTAAACTCGAAAATTCTAAAACTCCTTGGAACAAGGAATTTATCTATTACGAATCAAAATTCTAGAAACGAAGTACATACTTCAGAGAGAAATGCCGACTCGAGAAAAAAAACAGTCAGTCGTGGTCAGTGACGCGGTGTTGCCTATAAGGTTACCGTGACTTTACCGTTAAGAGTCCCCTCTCCGGGACCGTGCTACCTCCTGGATCCTGGACCCTCTTCGCCGCTTTCTCGTCTGTCACCGCGCGATATTCCGCGCGCGATCGCGTTTCCAGTGTCTTTCGATCCTGTCCTCGCTCGTTCGCCGTCTTTTTTTTTAATCATCCACCGACGTCATTGCGGGCCCCTTTCACCTCCAACGAGGTTTACCTCTTTCCCGTATTCACTGAGAAACAGAAGCATATATTACTGATACGTATTTCTCGATATGTGCGACTTTTTCGAGAATAAGCAGATGTGACTGAGGTAAAATGACGATATTCTATAAGATAGCGGTTAACTGAAAAAAACCTGGTAATATATTTATTAGAAGAACTATTTAATAATAAAATATACAGATGATTTGAAGTTTTAATATATTAAGTTTGGAATTTTTCTTCTACGAATTTCTCTTTTCCTAAATTAACTCTTCTTTCTCACATCTTTTTTTTTCAACGGAAAGTCCTATTCCGGTTTATTTTTTCGTCTGCTAAATTTATTGAATTAAACAAAATATTATGTATGTTCTAACCAACTCGATTAAAACTATCTTTTCACTATGACTTAATGTTTTAATGTTGCTATTTAATATAAAACATAATCGAAGACTTGAGTTAAAAAGGATTAGATTTTTATAATTTAAATAATGATTAAAAGTACAAAAAAGTAGAAAACAAAAATGTTAGAAATTGCTGTATCAAGATGCTGAGATATGTCATTAAAGGAGAACAATCAATTTACTTTAGAATCATCAATCTGCAAATTGAACAATACTATATCAGATATAACATATATATGATACATAATATAAGATAATACAAATATGTTTACATGATTGTAGGTATATGAGGTATTTTTAAGAAAAAAAAAATATTTAATTTCCTTCTTTTTCCGCTTTTTTAGCTATTTTGACATGTATATATAATTACAATAAATAGTAATTAAAATAATTATTAAATACTAAATAATAATTATATTTAAATTTGAATGTGAGATTTTAATAAAATTCTGATGACAACTCTGGTGAGTTGAGTATGAAAAAATGCGTTTTCCGCTTATTGCGAGAAAGACTACTTTTCTAAGATCGTAATTAGTTACGATAATTACATCCTTAAGGATGTTGTTAAAGACGCTAAACACGTAAAACGGATTAACGAATTAGAAAAGCTTCGCCCGCTTTCCTTCCGTAAGATCTTCGGTATTAAAATTTTTTAAATTATATCCGCATTCCTTTGTAATTGTAATGTTAATCTAATCATATTATATCTCTATGTTGATAACGTTATATTTTTAAATTATGTAACTATTACTTGGAATTTATACTCAAATAAAAAATTATAATATTTAAAAATATTTAAGTTATAAAATTATAAAATTGAAATTACAATTTGGACCTTTTGATAAGATTTCTAATAAGATTATTATATACATATACATATTACATTATATACATATACTTATACGTATACATATTATATACATATACATATTATATACATATATATATTTAAAAATATTTAAATTATAATATTATAATATAAATTATAATATTTAAAAATATTTAAATTATAAAATTATAAAATTGAAATTACAATTTGAACCTTTTGATAAGATTTCTAATAAGATTATTATATACATATACATATTACATTATATACATATACTTATACGTATACATATTATATACATATATATATTTACATTTATAAAAAAATTCAATAATTCAACAAATTCAATTTTATATCATATGAAAATAAAAATATCGAGTATTACTATAATAATAATGATATAATAATGAGCCAAAGCCTTGTTTAAAATTTTTTTTAAGATATGAATGTTAATGCGAAATAACATCTAATTGCATCTGTCAAAACAATGTTATCTCTCAATCGAGTCGCGTGATTCTTTGACGAGAGCGCGATGCATCTCTTACAATCATTTACGGTTATAATCGTTACAACTACCGAATGGCGTCATCTGACAGAATCTCGTAGTACTATCTCTCGCTCCGATAGCGTCCGGAGCGATGACCAGCGATGACATTGAACGAATGCGCACACAAGTATTCTGCTCTGCTATCTCTATTTGTATAACGAATACCCAGAGGATTAGAGCCGGTATCGGTACAAGAATCATGATTTTCCCACGAGATAATTCAATCCTTGAACCTTTGAATTAATTTAATTAGGATGACGTGAGTACTAAGATCGTTATTGTCAATTATAAATAATTCACATATCTCTCATTAGTGTTGTTCTATTTTTTTTAGGAGGAGTTTGCTCCGCATCAACTTGTTTTTGTCATAAAGTTGTGGCTTCTATAGTTTATGTAATGAATCCTGATAACTGTACATCTCCTCTATGTTAGATATTTGAAATGTTTATGCGTGAGACAATGATAAATTTTATTAAGCATTTGACAATCTAAAAAGTTCAACTATGGCTGAGGGTGGAACAGAGCCAAAGTCTATTGATGGCCAGATTTCAAGAGGTCAGTTAGAGATAAATGAATGCCTCGGTAACTGGTTAACGTACTTACAGGTTGGTGTGCCTTTGATAGTACTTGTGTTATACTCTGTCATACAGAAAATAAATTATCTCTCCTACTACAGACACTTAATGGCCTATGTACAGCTGGTACTAAACTGGCTCAATCCCTGCAAGCACTTCTTTCCATGCATGATACAGTGGCACAATGCCGTCTGACAGGTCAATGTCTGGCTGGATGGGAAGAATTAACAAAAGCTACACATATAGCCAGCAGTACTGTTAAGAATCATGTGATCACTGCTCTGAGGGATCATGAATCTCGTGATAATGATGGGGATAAGCATGTTAGTAATATTCAGTTAGACTATTTTCATATAAAATCTCTGCATTTATTAGCGTAACTGACAGAATGTTTCCATACTTTCAGGATATTCTGAGAGAAAATCTCTTAACATTCATAAATTTGCAATATCAGTTCTGCGTTGCTTGTTGTGAGTGCTTAGGTAAGCCTGTATTATTAAAGTGACATCGATAATTAGATAGAATTGGTGAAATATCAGTGAAATTAAAATAAAATTATTTTAGTGAAATATTAAAATTAAAGAGATTAGTATTAAAGTAATTCTAGATTTTGTAGAACTTAGAATTGAAACAAAATATAGTAGGTCATAGTTAATATTGGAAATTAACAAAGTCTTATTGTCAATTCTTCTTTGATTGAACTATTCAGGTGGAATGGCAGAATGTTCTTGCTCTCAAAATGGTAGTGGTGATTGCGATATCGCCGCGCTACAGCAATGCTTTGAGCGTCTTTACAGTTCACCAATACCACTAATTTCTTCCTCGTCCACCCAACAATCGATGCCGAATTGTCGGAGATCCCCTTTGCCATATTCGTTGTTTCCGCAGGTAATTGGCATATTCATCAATTTGAGAGGATTTGTAACAAGCTCGATTATGCTCGATTTTATGTATAAAGGTTCAAAGAAGATGGTCTGAAACGGCGGCGGCGGAAATGTCAGGCGAGTCCGTCGAAAACACAATGAGACGTTGGTCGATGCCGTGGGATTGTAAGCACGTCATAGAGTGGCCGCGTCAGGATGCAAGGTCAAGATTAAGGGTACCGCAGCAAGATCGTAGTAGATCGACCACGCCTGATTCAGTGTGGAAAACGTCCACAATGGCTAGTCAGGATGGTCTGCAAGAAGCTATTCAGTTGTTATCTTGCAAGCCAGGTAGCGAAAACACAAAAGTTCTTTAATGAATCTTCTCATTTTCTCGATATACAAAATAAGATAAATAATTTTCATGTCGTGAAAGGAAACTTTACAGAAAATATTGCTTCGCAAAATGTAAGTGAATCTTTTTGTGAATAATTGTCAGGAATGATTTATCTCTGAACGAAGTTTTAATCTTCAAATTGATGTCTGATCTTGCAAGTATTACAAATTTATATTTCTGGGACGTGTTGTTTAATGTATGTAATTTTCGTAAAATTAAAAAGTTGAGTTTAGCGGTTAGGATTAGCGGTTTAAATATATAAGCTATTCTCTGTTTCGTGTTCTCCATCCGATTGGAAGGTTGTACGTTGTGCAGGAGTTCGACCGTCCAATCAACTCTCGGCTTACACTAGTCAGCACATCCCGGGTGTCACCTTGACGACCTGCAATTTTGACTTGAATTACGACTCCACTATTTGGTCAGGATCGCGTAGAATAGGTTCTCCCAGATGCTGGCCTCAGGATTCTAGTGATCATTCCGATCAATCTGGACATCGTGATAGCGATCACAGCGTTCATAGTGGCGAACACAGAGATTCGGGTAAGGTTCATTATCGTTCAGCATAAAAATGCGATTCTTGAGCTAGTAAAATAGTGAATGATATTGTTTTAATGTCACTATAGAGCAGAGCGGTGCTAGTGGTAGTCATGGCGATAGCAAGGATAGCATTCACTCGCATTGCGATCATAGAGAAACGGAAACTGGTGAGTGCGTTAAATATATCATGTTCGAAACATTTTTCGTTCTAAGCTATTGCTAAGAATACGTTGCCGATAAAACTTGATCGCGATGATCTCAGCTCGTACGTTTCGTTGAAGGTGCAGCGGATACATTGCCATCTCGCAAGAGCAGCTCGTCAACCGATTCCTGCCTCTCGGCGCACAGCCGATCGGGTTCGGAAAGCGCTGGTGGCGGGGTAAATAAACGAGATCAGTTGTTTTCTGATTGTTAGTGAACTTAAGTTTATTAAGCCGATATCTTTTTTGAGATATACAGTGGATAAAAAAAAAGATGATCGTATACCGACATTTTTGCACGGTGAACGTCGGCTTCGTGTGATTTAGAATAATAGATCAACTCTAAATATATATACAAGAAATTCGAAGATTTAAATGGCTAAAATGTAATGCTATAAGAGGATATATATTCAAGAGATGTACATGCAATCAAAAAAAAATGATAGCATACGAATTACTTATACTGCTGCACCCTTCTATTTACACTGTCTCGTTATATTACACAACGCTTGGAAGCTAATTTCTCGCTTGCTCTCTCGATTCCCTCTCTCATACATCTCTAAACATCATTGCTTTTAGGAATGTACGAGATCGCAATTGTACTCGATGTGGAGCGGTGGCGATTTGTCCTTCATCAAGTTGCCGGAGAGCAACGAGATACAAGATGAACATCCACCCACTTAAATGTCTGCCACTATTGCTTCTTATCTAAAATGTATCCGACGAGAAATTCAACCTTTGGATTACTGAGCCGTGAAATAATTTTATGATTTTTTTAAAAAAGATATTACACGCGCTAAAAAAATAATATAAAATCTATTATATAAAATGTTGTTCTAAATATTAGTGTGAAAAAATATCTCATGAAATATATCTCATGATCCAGCAATCCAAAGGTAAATCATCATCGCTATGATAAAATTTGTTGATCCGTGAATTCACCTAGTGATTCGACCAATATTATTCGTGATGTGTATACATATTTGATATTTGTGAGTGTGATATGACGGCGCGAGTTAGTACGTGTATATTGAATGTGCAACAAACGATTAAAAAAAATATATAAACGTTATACAGGGTGCTCACTTCGTAATATTTATTTATTGTGATATATTAAATCGTAAGGTGTATATCGTGCAAAATATAAATTTATATGTCCTATTCATATAAAGTTATATTTAAGGGTGTATTGTATAAAATACATATACATATGCATTTAAATAATTTCTATTAAGCTGATAAATACTACGAAGTGTGAAGCTTACGTTTAAAAATAAACGCCCTATATGTTGTTAAAACTCCTATGTACATATGTATGCATGAACCAATCGAGGAGTACCATTCGGCTCAATTGAAGAGAATAATTTATCTTAGATTTCTCGAATTCTGATCGATACCAAAGTGTGTACTGTGATCTACTACCACCGTTTTATCGTATCAGATAATGTAAAACTCGAGTGTCTTTGCACACCTCGTTAAATATCATTACACACTCGATGAAGCATATCACATTCCATTTGAAGAAATGACGCATTTTATATTTGCTTCTGCATATCTCGCAGACACACAGTATTCTATATATTTGTCATCATTAGGTAAAAGTAAATTTTATCTTATCTTGATTTTTGAGCATTCATATTTAAATTTTTATTCTTTAGAAACAATTACATCCAACATTAAAGCGAGTTTTTGATGACAATAAAATTATCTAGTAAATTTACAATTAATATTTACATTTTTTATCAATTTTACGAATTTTGAACTCCTTTTGAAAATGTTGAAATCGCTCGAAAGTTTTCAATTTTTGCCAAATTAATTTTAATTATGATAAAACTTATAAGTGTAAATCTAATTTTAAAGCGTCAAATGTATTTTTTCTAGAGAAGAAATTTTAATGAACTTTATCGCGTTATAATTTAATATAGTCCGACTGCCGACGACGTAGAAATATAATAACCTTCGTATCGTCAAGAAACACGAACGCGACCAGATACGACAATTCTCCAAGTTGGAGAACCGGAGATCTAGTTTCTGCATATAAGTAGCAATGATAAAATATGTAAATGTAATCTTTCGGTTTTTTGTTAAAAATGTATTCAAGTAACGTTAGATTAGATTATAGCGATGGGGATATTTATTATCGTATTCGTGCCATAAATAAAATTATACATACTCGTATATCAAATCTCATCTCAATCAGAACATCAAGATCGCCTTATATATATCCAAAATTCCTCAAAATTTTGTTGGAAAGGAAAATCATAAATTACAGTACCGTTACTGTAATAAACAGAATATGTATACTGTAATATAATCTCAAGTATTTGCAAGAACAATTTTAAAATTATTACAAGAATTATGATGAATCATACACATGATCACTGTATTTATAAAAATAATTTTAAAACAAATATTTTATATTTTATTTAGTTAAAAAATGTACAGGATAAGGTACGTAAAGCGCATAATAAATTTACCCAAAAATACTATAAATAAATATTAAAAGAAAAAGTATAAAATAAAAATTTTAGAGATATGGATATTGATAATAATTTTATTTTAATCTTTATTTATGTAATATTAATGCAGGTATATTGAATTTTCCGTTTATATAATATAGGATATGTGGTCAAGAATTTACGAAGGGTTACTGCATGTCTGTGATAGTCGGTGTGAGATACGCAGTAGAAAAAAAAATATAAAATGCGTTATTTCTTATTAAAATGCGTTCTTTTTTTTATTAAAATGCGTAATTCTTTCGAGATAAATATATATATATATATTCATATATATATATATATATATATATATGTAAAATATGTTATTATGTGTATATATATATATATATATATATATATATATATATATATATATACATAATAACAGATATTTTATAAAAGTTAACTCTGCGGTGTAACAATCTCCATTGTCGTGGCATGTCGTTCGCGCAAAGCACTTTTCTGTTCGTCACGAAGTGATAAAAAAAATATAACTTATAGTTAATCGATTCTATCCTCGTCCAGCCCGTCCTCGTCTTGACCGTAATCGTTGTATTCGTCCGTGTCATCCTCGTGCTCCAATGGACATTGCGTGCATCTTGACTCATTGATCCCGTAGTTTATGCACGTGTTGCCTATGCATTCGCAGCAACCGTCGTGGAACCACCTGAAGCTCGTGGCGCCCATACTCTGGCAGGAAGCCCGACATTTGTTCCAGGAGTTGCATTGCGCCATGAACGCGACGGTGCAATTCACTGTCATTATGTTTGGCTTCAGCGGACTCAGCTTCCCGTCCGCAGATTCTGTCATAAAAAATCTATCATTAGTCCCTCGCATCGACTAAATCGAAGTCTTAATCGAAGTCTGTATGATAAGTTTAATTATAGAATTTTCAACGTATAAAAAACTTATTTTATTATCTCTCTTATCATTTATTAATAAAAATATATATATGTATATATAATTTTTATATTATATTCATATTTTTTTAATAAACTCTCTCGTACATAATATACATATATATATGCAATCTGCGATTAATTAATTCGTTATAATAATTTTTTTATATCTTCCAGCAGTAGATATTGTAAAAAAGTACACATTTCTGCATATTTTTATTTGCAATTACATGCATATTTTTACTTTTCTGTCGATAATTTATAATATTCAGAAAACTCGATACTTACGCAATCGGTACTTCATTTCATTTTCATATTTCGGTGAGAACAACGACATATCAAAATCTACCGGATACGTGAAGGTAAGCCATCGTTCGTGCGGATCTGCCTCGGCTGTAAGTGCTTGAAAGAGCGCCGGGACCGGATCACTAAATTCCTCCACGTGAGATTTTCTACTCAATGGGTTGACATCGGTGACATTTGGCTTCGGACATAGATCTGCACTCGCGTAAACACGTGTTACGTCATTTACATACATATCGAATATCCCGAAAACACACTCATATATATATATATATATATATATATATATATATATGAGTGTGTGTGTGTGTGTGTTTTCGGGATATTTGACATATATATATATATATATATATATATATATATATATATAATTTTCTTCTTTATTTAAAGATAAAACTGAGTAAATAGTTTAAATTAGAAATCTGTCTATTTTCTTCTGTATAAAACGTTTAAGATAAATATATTACTAAAATTACATTAAAATTATACAAAATTACATGTATGATATATGAATACAATATAAAAGAAGCACATAGTTTACAGAATTTATTTGTAATTTTTAAAATGTACAAAAAAATGTCCTCTTGATTCTGCATTAGCTATTAATTTAAATTCCGGTTTCCAACGCTTTCTTAATTGTCCTCGTTTTTGCAATTGTTGAAAATTATATCTTCTAATTGCTATAACTAGCTTTTATAATAAATTGCACAGATTTCCAACATACTCTAATATAAATATCAATATATCTGATAAATTTAATTAACGACCGTTTATGATCCGCATTCCTTACCTACGCACGAACAGCACTCATCGTACAGATAACTCAAGCACGAAAAGCATTCCTTGCAACAGGTGCAGGTGACCAGATCGCACTTACAGCTCTGCGTGAGCATGCACTTACTCACGACGCTGGCACAGATCGCCTCGTTGCACGCTTCCGAGCGTTTCGTCGCGGTCGTCAGCAGCAGAATCCCGACGGCGGCTGCGACGAATAATACGCTCCAGCTTCTCATCCTGCTTACGACAGATTTGATTTAGTTTCCTCATATGATCTACCGGACGAAATGCCGAGACATCTCTCTTATTTAAATATAAATATTTTCCGACAGCAAATTTAATTTGTAAGGACAAATATAGGAACAAGGAAATCTATCCTAATATTATCTATTATCGATGTAAATAAACAAGAATCATAAATGTTTTAAAACTGTGCTGAAATAAACGACATTTTAATCAACATGTTACGGAAAGATTATTCGTTCGTAAGATTACGGATCGTAATCTTTTGAACGCATTATATTAACAAATTGAGATTAGATATTAGCATACATTGCAAATTACTAAATCAAAAAGAAATGATAAAAAATTCTGTAATAAGAAAAGGAGGAAAGAATCTAATATGCAAGTTATATATAAAATTAGGAGGAGCGGCCGTGTTACTCGATATTTTTTACGTGATTTAAACGATATGTCATTGATTATGCTATATAAAGTGTTAAAATATAATCTTTTCTACGCAGAACTTCTATCAAAAAGTAGAATCTGACAGTATTAAAATCTAAATCGAATTTATATTCTCAATATTATTAAATTATAATTACGTGATATTTCCATTATGATTTCCATTATAAGCTTTTCCTCACACGCGAACCGCATGTACATGGATTATTGTTTATGCGTAGATGCCGGACATTATGATTATAATCCCCCTACTCGCATCATTCTCAGAGTAGTTACGAAGACGAGAAGAGCGCCGATTATGCCGACGAGGCCCGATTAAGATTATTAAGAATATTCACGAATGTGAGTCAGGGTGTCATTAAGGAACGCGTGCTAAAAAGAATGAAATTTCAGTCTCCTCTCCTGGCGAGAGCTACTAACGCACTAATCTAAGCAATCAGCGTAATGTTGTTCCTCTCATTCCAGGGATGACGCCAAAATCACACATTTAAAGTCATTTAAATTTTTCGCAAATTCGGGATCTTTTTTGTGCTAACGAATGTATGGAAGTGATTTTGCTTTCTGTCTAAAAAAAACTATTATGGAAATTTTGAAACTCGTTACCGATATCTCGTTATGGAAATAATAAAAATTCATAAACACAAGTAAATAAAAAAAGAGAGGGACATATTCGCTCTCATCTATATTTCTCTTTAATGTATTTATTACATGTATTTATAAAATTCATTTAATATATAAATATTTATATTTAAAAAAATGTAATATAAATAAATTATAATATTATAAAATATATAAATTATATCTTAATGTCTTATATATTATTATTTATCAAAAACTATTTTTTACCTTAAATCTATATTTTTCGTATAGAACCATATAATTAATTTCTGTAATTTTATTATGAAATTCAATTATCTTTTTAAATAGATGTGGTAAGAGGCCATCAAAAGTAAAAATTTTTGCTACAAGTTAGAAAAAGAGCGATAGTTTATAAAAAAATCTCATAAAATGCCAAGAAAATGTCGCGATTATATTCTTCACTTTAAGAGTCATTATGTCTCTCTTGCGAGCTGACAAGTATGCGCAAATTATCCCCCAGAGCATTGAATACCTGTCGACATAGCGAGAAGTATAAGGAGAAGAACGACATTAATCGAATGCGAAATCGTTCGCGCAATAATTGCATCTTTCCAACATATCTATTAAACAATCTATTTATATCGCGCTTAATTGCGTACTATGACAAGTCGGGTAAATTATTATTGGAAAGAATTCCACTACACAACGACCTGTTATCGAAAAGGCGCGAGATCGAGATACGATCTGATATATGTCACTACATTACGACTTTCACGTTCACTTTCCACATGTTGTTTCTCTTATCTCCTATTCATTAATGTACTACTAAATGTCATTGGAAATTAATTCAAGTGAAATCTAGAAAAAAGAAAAGATAGTATCTAACTATCCAGTTAATCTTATCGTTCATCAAATGATTAATTCGTTAACGCCAATAAATTTCTACCAGTGATTTCTTCGATGTATCTAATATACATATCAAATAATCTATCTTTATTGTAATATTAATATAGATCATTTTCACATTTCAAAAAATATATTAATTAATAATTTAGCTTTTTTTCTAATAATTGTACTAAAAAATAAGAATAATTAATAATTTCCAATTTGTAAAACGAGAATTTTAACACGACATATTATTTCAAATAATTTGATACCTGAATGATCTTGTTGTGTGATCTTCCCGATGGTGAGATATGAGCAAAAGTCACCCCACACACTTTAAATAATTATACTTTTTCGTACAACTTTTATTATTTTTATTTTTATATGTTACTTTTTTATTATTTTTACACTTTTATATTTATATTTTTATACAATTATTTAATTTTATTTATTTCGTATATTTTCAACATATAATTGTTAAAATTAAAAATTACTTCTCGAATTTCGTTTTCATTTGATTTTTTTATCGTATTATTTTTCAACTAGTTCATTTTTCACAGTTCATTTCCTCGAACGCGCTACCAAATGACAGATCTTACTACGGCAGATTCTTGCGACGGACTCACAGGAGATTGTTGAGGGACAGCTATACTTTTAAGGTAGAAATCCCCACTCTAATTTCAAAAGGGTCTCATCCGTAAATGAAAACACACCACAACAGTTCATGATAACTTTCAGATAATTATCTGCTATTTTCTCGCCCGTCCGGAGGCGATAGATAATCGCACTTTTCGGATCAAGACTGTCAAAGACCCTTCCATTTCCCAAGAAAAGATATAGATTCCTCGCAAATGAATCATGCGATAATAGCATAAAAATTATAACGAAACTATTTCCAGGCATTGAAACCAGATGTAAAAGCTTTAAAAACAGTTTTTTTCAATCAATTTACATCCGAAAAGACCAGGTGCGGACAACATCGTCCGAATAATAAGTTATCTATTAAATCCTATTATTCTTCAGATATACGGGAATGTTTTAGCTCTGCTCTTTGACAAATTGCAGAGTCGATCGACCCTTTCTAATAACTGCTTTTAAAGTAGATTCCACGACGGGGGATCATGTTGTCAGGTTTGATGAGGGAAAAAATTGAGTGCAAGCGAACTTGTACATCCCTACAAAGCCCGAAGCGCTACAAAAGAATAGCCATTGCCAAACGCCATTACAAATGCGGATTATGGCGCATTATCTTAAAATCTCGATCGAGTGAAATCTTTATAATTCGGTAAGTTATTTAAAACATTCCGCGAGATTGGTTTACGAGGTATTGTGCGTCCATTATCGCATACTTGTGTGTCGAGACGATAAAACCACCATTACGAGACAACAATAGCACCCCATTATACCATTATCGAGACGATAAATGTTATTTGACGACCGTCGAATCGTTACGTAAAGTGGAAGAGCAAGCTTTCCCGCGTTTTATCGTTCGAGCTATTCATTATAAGCAATAAATCACTCCACTTTCTACATCCAAAGGAAGCTTGTTAGAACCTGAATACAGAAAGATCAAGTAAATAAACACGCGATGCACGATACATTCGGGACACCGAGTATATGAGAAGAGAGGGAAAAAGAGAGAGAGAGAGAGATAATCGAACAATTTTAATAAAAAATTCCAGCTCGCGAGCGAAATGTGGATGTTTGTCATCCAGGGACAGGCATGCTGCTGCTCATGCTGGCACTCACAATCAGCCTCGCCTCTCGTTCTGTGCCCCGAGGCGATGGAATAACTTCAATAACAAACGCCAATCGCCTTCGCAGAAGGCGGCGGCAAGCCTGGTATCTCTACCTACGTGTCCGCTACGTGTACGCGCGTTCACACGACGGAGGAAGACTTTCCAATCATTTTCTGTTACTACTGAAACGGGCCCCTGCGTCATCTTTCTTCTCTTCCTTCGCTCTCGTCGCGTGCGTCCTTTAAACGCGGGAATAAAAAATCGCGCAACAACTGATGCAAAGTAAATGCAAATATAAATATAATAGAAAAAAAGCATAAAAGTATTGTAAAAATATTTTTTTTTAAATGTTGCATGCACGAAAAGATCTTGAGATGTTTAATTTTTATATCCGCAATATGTTTAAAGTGGCGCGTTTGTATATTCACATTTCGTACAAATGGAAAATTCAGTATGCAAATTATTTGGAAAGGATTGAGTTGGCGATCATTCCGCTTCGATGGAATCGGAATCGAATTTCGTGAAAGGTTAGCCTTTTACATGTCGCGTTCGTCATGATGTAATAACCAGCAAATCTGTGAATACCTTTTTTAATTTCTCTCTCTCTCTCTCTCTCTCTCTCTTTTATTATATATTAAAATAGTATTTTTATTAATTTTCTGATAAAGATGAACACGGTATAGGTAATTTGAAAATTGCAATTTCTATCGATTCTTAATCCCTAGATCAGATATTGAGTCCATAAATGATATTTTTCTTAGCTGACATTTCTTTCTTTTTAGGGAAGATTAGAATTAATTATAAGGAATTTTGTGCTCTTTCTCTATCTCTATCTTTATTTTTCAATTGAATGATGCAAAACGACCACGCAAAATAGATATATTACTCGATCGTCTACGGCTCTGAAAGACTGATCGCATCTGGTGACCTCCTTCGCGCGTAAATATCCGCGTTATCGAAACATCGCTGTCAATTGGCATCGCGCTGTTATTACGCTATCGCTGCCATTTACGTTGTCGTCTGCTATATTATTATTTTCGGTTATTGCAGAAATTACCGAGTGCACGAGACACACGCTCGCGAGCCTATTCATCGAACAGTCCAGACTTACAACGTAACGCGTCGTTTAGCTTTAAATGTGGCTATGCAAGACGCGACAGTCTGTGATAACGTTAAATAGCATCTTAATAATAGACAAGGAAAGATTGGAATATTAAACATGTTGATTAAAAGAGAAACGCTCCCCGCTATAAAAAGATTGTACATTTAATGCAATTAATTATCTAACTAATGAGGGGAAATTATATAATTTTTTTTTTTAACGAAATCTCTATCATTTTATCAATATATAGTATCCATTTCTTCTTTTATATTTTTTCTTAATTATGCTTCTTATTATAATTTGTACTTTTATTGCAAGCGTCTTCTCTCATCGCTCATTTAATTCGATACTAATTATTATAATTATCATTTCTTCTCTGCTCTCTTTGTTTAATAAATATAATCCTTAATGGTTCGTTCAGATGGAACTTGAAATCAAACAGTCATTAATTAGAATATAAAATAAGCATACGGTCATTGATTCACGACTTTTCGTGAGTCGAAATGACGTCATGCTCGAAAAATTTTTCTATTCTGTGCTTTTCTTAGAAAATCGACTTTTTCGATTGCTCGATCCTCGTTAACAAATTTCGACAAATTTCAAATGTTTTTCAAGTGCTAATTAAATTAGCGTTCGATACTCGGAAAGGTAAATTTACGAGCGTGGCACGATCTCTCGATGCATCGCAGAAACATTTATGTCTTATTCGCGGTCTTCTCGAGAACTCGAGAGCAATGGAAAAAATGTGCATTGAACTGAGAACATAGATCGCTATTGAGGATAAATTCCGTCAACAACATTGCGTTCTCATAAAAGTATTACTGAGCTCGATTGATGCGCGTCTCTCAATTGATGCGGATTGATAAAACGATCGCGAGGCGGGGCGGAGGCGCGGCGAGAGACATATTTAGATCGATCCTGCTGCGCGATCCCGAATTTCCGCGCTCTCGCGACGATTCCTCGAAGCCGCATTGCAAATAGATTGATCACGCGCCACGCTTTGTTCTCCGCGCAATCCAACGCCAATCCACCCTCCATCGAAAATAACTCTCCTCCCGTTAAAGAAGTTTCAGCGAAGCTGGAAGAAGGGAACTCTAAACACACAGAAATTAGAAACAGCAGCGGGGCACTTCTCTCGCGTTCGAAACAGCTTTCTCGGTCGAAGCCTCTCTCGTTGAACAAACTTTTCGAGTTCTGTGTCAACAAACAAGCTCTCCAAGAAGCAATTTCCGTGAGAGAAGGAGGGCTTCTCCGCAGTTCGTCGGCCGGGAGATCTGGACCGGATAATAGCTCGCCGAGAGATCGCAGCGATTATGCTCGAATTCGAATGCCTCTTTAATTGGAGGCGAGCTATTTTCCATGATCACAGGAGAGGAGGCCGGCCACCGCGATCCGGCACGATCGCGATCGCACGGTGGATCCGGACGGATCTCTGTCTCACTTCATCGCATGCGCGCGCGCGCGCGCGTTTGCGAGGAGGGATTTATCTAACGACAATAGTCGATCGATATATATATATATATATATTTACCTGGTACTACTACGACGACGTTTTCTCTCGTGCTCCAACGGCGGGAGGGCGGTTGTGCGCGCCAGTTACCTACGCGCGTGAGAAACTATTTTAAGAGCGCGCAACCGGTTCGCGCGTTGCGACGACCGCCGCGGGACATGTTTCTTCGGCAAGAGGCGAAATCCTTCCTTCCATCCTTCGGGAAGAGCGATTTCCTCGGAGCAATTCTAGCGAGGCGTCCCGGCGATCTCGATTTCGTACGCGGCCGCAACTTGGAGCATTTAAATCGCTAAGCACGAACGAGGATAAGATCCACCTGCGTGCGCAGTACACGATCGTCAGACTTGCGAAATCTGGTTGTTGCGCGCAATCCTGTCAATTTTCACAATCGCCGCAGAGTCGTATCCTCGCGATGGAAACGTCGATTGTCCTTCCCGATCGCGCGTTCCTCGACGTTCGATCGTACGTTCGATAAACGCTCTCGCGGGAATCGCGCACTACATCACAGACGTGTTTACGACACACCGACTCTCTCGCCTCTCGCGGACGCAGCGGCGCGTATACACGGTGACCCGTCGTCAAAACAAACTCGCGGAATGACGAGCGTCCGTCTTCCGCGAGGATCCTCTTCCTGCTCGGCGGCGGCGCGCACCGCCGTGTCTCCCATCCGGCGCGGTGGATGCGCACCGCGAATTCCGCACGCGTTTCGCACGCGTTTCGCACGCGTTCGCTCCCGGAGAGGATGCACGCGCCGCGCGGCGACTTTACGACTCTATCGCGTTGCGACGCATCGCGACGCACTGCGTCGCGCGAATCGTGATCGGATCGCTCGCCCTCGCTCGCTCCGAGATCGGCGGCTCCGAGAGGAGCGCGGTGGCGAATACCAGCCGTCGCTTTTTTCAAAATTGGCGGCTATATTCCGCAAGACGGAGCGACAGAGAAAGATAGACGCAGAGGGAGGGAGAGAGAAAGAGAGAGGAAATAGAAACGGGATATAGAGAGAGATTTGTCGGCGGGTGTGACGAATCGAAGAGCGGTTCTCATTGGACTGAATTAAGGAAGAGCGTGGACCGCGGAGAAGGATCGCAGAGAAGCGGAAGAAAGAGGTGGAGGAGGAAGAGGAGGAGGAAAAGGAGGTGGTGGCAGCGTTCACCGCTGATGATGATGGTAGTGGTGGTTGTACCGTCGCGGATCTCTCCGATGGAGGTGGAGAAGAGAAGAGCGAGAACGAGAGAGAGAGAGAGAGAGAGAAAGAGAGAGTGAGAATGATGAAGGGAGAGAAGGAAGAGAGAACGAGGAGTTAAAGAGAGAGAAACAACGAGTCCGCTGACGGTCGGGTAGTCCGGACTACCGACTGCATAAGACTGGTTTTCAATTTTTTCCCGACTTTTTGTTTTACCTGTACCTCTCGCATAGCCTCACCGCGTCTCTCAGCCTCTCTCTCTCTCCCTCTTCCCCTGTTCTTCGGCCCTCTCCTCCTTCCTTGCTTCCCTCTTGCCCTCCTGCAGAGCGTGCTAGACGAGTAACGGGTGAGCCGAGAGCTCCGGGCTCCTCGATCGCCGCCGGTCGATCGGACCGACTCCGAAATCCTCGGAGACGGATCTCTCTTCGTGGATAGTCCGCGTGATGAATCTTTCAGTCGCATCGAGAGTTTCGGCCTCTGAGAACAAAGCACGATGGTATCGGAGAATATTAGTCGAGAAGAATTTTATTGTCAGATTAATAATTTGATGCATATTTATTACGCGGTTAAGCATGTTACTCAAATCGCATAGAATTCTAATCATACACGAGATCGGGAAAAAAATTTCCTTTCAATCGTATATCGATCTTAATGATGTATCGAATTAAATATGTTAAATTAAATATGTTATTTTTTTACTTGACATATAGTTCATAATTGTTTTTACAATTCAATCGAAGCGACTTTCAATAATTTTTCTAAAATTTGATAAGCATAAAATTAAGAATCGAATCTTTGATTGGATTGATGATTTTATTATTATTATATTAATGTGCGCAGAAATCTTTGACAGTAGAAATCAAATAGCTTATCGCGAGGGATTAACAAGCGTGTTCCATGCTCGCGAAAGTAGCGACTTTTTTGTCAATAATATAAATCTCGTATGCTAATGGGTCGTCCCAAAAGATTTATCTTCGATGAATCTTACGATCGAAACTCTCCGTGGAGATTAACGATTTAAAAGCGACACAACTTGTTTTTGCATCGACTGGATTCTGCGTATCTAAAATAAACGTTATCGTTCACTCTTCATCAAATATTAAATTGCAATCGTGACTGAATTAATACCAGTTTGGTCGTCATCAAGCTCTTCACTGCGATTCAAAATTCGTGATTCTCGAGAGTGATGATTTGAGCATGTCTCTCTTGGGAAGCTTTAGGTTTCGCATTAATATCAGAAGCATGATGTAAATTAATATACCTCTGTATTAAATAGAGAGAGGCTTCGCAATTTATTTATTTAAATAAATCTCATTTTTTGCTACTTTCCTCGTTAGTTTTTGCAATTTTTCTTACAAGTTCACGTTTTTCATATTTGTTAACGAATTACGTGTCTCGTTTGATAAGAATTATGATTTTCCGCATTTTTAATTAATTAATTATCTCGAAACTTTTTACACGATCGTCTCGTTTTTTTTTCCTGCGCGAGTCCTCGATCGGGGAATAATCGAGGTGGGGTTGCGAATTCCGTAGACCGTCGCGTTTATGTTGGTATTCACGCTCGTGCATTTCTGCGCGCCGTCAGCATCTACGGAATGCAGATGAGTGCAGGTTGCATTCGGAGTATTACCCAGCGCGCGCAACGCCTTTTTTTTGCGTTGCAGAAAAGAAACACGCGAAGAATTTGAGCGCGCAGAAAAATCCAGCACGCGAATATGTTGCGCGTTTGCGTTGCGTAAGAGGAAGTTCGCGAAGTTTACGCATACACTTCGGATCGAGTGTGCATATTGCGAAACCCTTGAAAGCTCGCGATCATCAACAAGCGTGGCGGTTTTAGCTGGAATTCAATTTGCTCACTTCTCATCGATCGCCGCTCTGTCGCCGATCATAATTCATCCCATTTTCTATCCGAGGATGCGCGTTGGCAGGCATAATCGCATTTTTATTCCAAGGCTGTACAATTCATTATTGCCATCTAGGTAGTAAACACTTCATTAATACAATGTGTGTATAAAATTACTCGACGGTTTGCGCAAGATCCGATTCAACTTAATCGTTTTTATAAGAGACATAGGATATATGTAAGATTAAAAGAGTTTCGACGATCGAAAGATGAAAATTTATGAAGACATAATCGCCGTATTTTATTTTATCAAGTAAATCGTCATCATAATTATTCATGTAGTAAAAATGGAAATGAAGTATTTTTATGCAAAATAATAATGCAAATGTGAATATAATCTCAATGCTTTTCTTTAAACATGTCATCTTTTAATTAAATAATTAACACAAACCTTCGTAATTATGCGACAAATGTTTTATAAATTGCCGTCACGTATACATACAAAGTTTGTTGATTATATATATATATATATATATATATATATATATATATATATATCTTATCACGCACAAAGTGTGTTGAATAAATAAATATTTTTATTCGATTGTGTGCACAGCTGTTCTCGTGTACGAGTTCTCGCAATCGTTCGTTTCACAACATCAACGCTAAAGTTCCTCCTATGTAATAACACAGATTCTTCGCGAATGCATTCCGAAAGTCGTTGATATCCGGCTGACCTTTCTCACCCGCGGTTCATGACAAGTGCAAAATTAAAAGTGACATTTGTAACGCTAATGCGTTACAAATGTCACTTTTCACAACATCTGTTGCACTCGTTATCGATTATAATAGGAAAAAGGAAACTGATAATCCTCGATAACGATAATCATTCCCGATGCATTCCGAAACTCGTGCTGATGGATATCCGGCTGACCTTTCTCGCCTCGACTCGTTGGGTGTAAAACTATTCAACAGCCGTCAGTAAGAAGGCGATTTCCGAGGAAAAAACATGTCAGATCGATGATTGCATATCGCAATATCGAAAGGGGAGCGATCGCACGAAGGACTCGCGGTTGTATGACTGGGACTTGCAAATCTCGAACCGATCGGGTTCTAGATTATCATTCGCAGCGTATCGCTGTGTAATATCTAACATGCGAGAAGCTTTCGTGACTTTTGTCTTACCATCAAATTAATCATTGCGTATAAAATAATCGGATTTTGCATTTTCTTGTGTGTCTATTCAATTTTATAAATATCTTCTTGATAATTAAGTTGATTATTTAATTATGTTAGAAAATGTCAGTTTAATATAAAACTTTTCATAATAAATCTGCAAAAACAGAAAATTCATGAAATTTCATTAAAAATTTATGAAAAAATTTCATGAAAAAATTCATGTAACGTTACTCTTTGACGTTAGGTCGTATATGTAACATTACAAAGCAATTTTTTATTTTCATATCTATCTAAAAATGTGATTATGAAGATTATTTATTTTTATTTTATAAATGGGAAAAGGATACGAGTTATTATATATTTTATGTATATTTTATTTCTCTTTAAATTTTTAGAAAAAAATGCAGAAATCCTAGAAACGGTATCTTATCTATTATCACTTAAAGTCGATGTAATATGTATTTCGAAACTAACATATTTGCTTTCCATTAACAATGATTGGAGCAATTCAAAATCGATTTATCTCTGATAAAACAAATCTGTAAAAACTCATTTGCATACCTCATTACCGACTCCAACTCTATCGTTAAGCCTAATTGCATTCTTGAGTTTTAAACGAAGCCAAATCACGATCCGTGTTCATCTTTGGATTCCTTCTCGATGATTACATAAATAAGGATCAACAGTGACTTGTACAATTCTTGTCGGCGACACGCCACGACAGATCAGCGTCCATCGCCGCGACATGTAAGCTTTCATCCGTTGTTCTGGGAACCGAACGAGGGAGAGCTATCCGATTCCGCGAAAAAAATATGCCCGGTACAAGACAACCGCGAGATATGGCGGAAGCGGCTAAATGCTTAAACGCTCGAAAGGCAGGCTTAAATGCCGCTGATTGCAGTAGGAGGGAAATGAGAGGTTGCACGATGTACGACTCCGTAATTCCGTATGTCCATTCTTGAAGGCGGTTTGCGATGGCACTTGTTGATACTCTATTATCGAATACTCGTTATACACTTGTCGCACAATTCATGATCTCTCTCTCTGTATGAAATAATGATTATATACAATCTCTATAAATTTATAGATTTAGTTAAAAGAGGCTACATGATTTTTTTGTTCATATAATAACATTATGTCACATGAATTTTGTAGAATTTTATAGACTAAAATTATTAAAAAATTATATTTTTTTTTATATACAAATAATTTTTCAGAGTGAAAATTTCTTGTAATTGATATTGAATAATAGAGAATCCTTTCGGCTAGTTAAATTAAATAATACATATAGGAAACAATTTTTTTTTAATGTCATTTATCTTAGAGCGTTTTACTTCAGGCTTTCAAGCATCTCTTAATAGAGCTCTTCGATGTAGATAAAATGGAGCTCCTTAATGCAGGTTTAAGACCCTCAACAGATGTTTAACTAAGAAATTTATTTTTTGACAACTGTCACTGACGATTTAATTACACTTAAGTTAAAGATCGATTTTTACACTCATCTTAAATTAAGATCATCATCTTAAATTAAGTGAATTTTACGATTATCTGCGAAAAAGATTTGTTCCTTTTAATTCTGTTTTTTGATAGACATCTCTTTTTTTTCTTCTTTCTATGTACCTGTTCACTTCGACTACTTAAAAGTGTAAAAAAGAATAGTAATACAAGAAACGGACCTATAATTTGATAGACGTGAGAAGATTATGTCGAATTATCTGAGAAATTTCTTGAGAGATAAGAGGTTTTTCGAAGAAACGAGGGAAGATACTTAGGCGGTAAATGGAACAGGATGAAAATTATTTGTAAGCCAGATAGGCCTACGACCAATGGCATGCATCTGGCATGACTGTTCCGTGGAGAAAGTTAAAAGTAAAGTAAAAGTAAAATCGATTCGAGAGATGATACTTAAAGTAACGAGTGGATGAAAAAACTATACGTCATTTATAACATTTTGGAAGTTATCGATTCCAGATTTTCGTTGATTTAGTACGTCCGTGTTGATTATACACTTTATATAACATATTTATCATAATCTATAGCAAATATATCAATATTGCATTAAGATGATGAGTAATTATATCAAGTCGTAATATAATTTCTAGCAATATCGAAAAATCGATCAATAACTCAATTCTCGAAAGTATAATTTATATGATTTTCCAATTGTGAGAAAAAGAAAAAAATTGCGCTTGTAAAGAAAAAAATTAGTCCAAGATTTTAAACATTTTAAAGCTGTCGAAAGAGGTTTTAGAAGCTACGTGACAGGAATTTATTTAAAGAAAACGGTAAAGTATCCTGACGAAATCTTTTTTAATAATGCATTTTTACTTTTACTTAGGCTAAAGAGATGCATATACATGTTTCAACGAAATTTTGTATTTTTGTCCTTTGTATCCTTCCCGAATTCCGCAAAGAAGTGAGTAACGGTAAAAAAAGCTGCTAGACCTACGCCTCGTGGCGGGTCCTCTACAGGACTCGAGAAGATACGCCATTCCTGCACCGTAGGTGGTCCAGTTGCGGAGGATAAATGCGCCGTCAGCTTGATTTCTCTCAGGGTGAGCTTCGCTTTCGAAGGAGGTGAGGGAGAGAGCGAGGTGCGGAGGCTCTTCCAGAGTACGGGGATGTTAGAAGCTCGCTCTACGCGATGACGAGAACGGCTCGCGAGCATTTCCGGTGACTGTGCAGTTTTGCGATAGGTGGATGTAAAAAGCAAGATGCGCAGCAGCGGGAAAAGACAAAAGAAGCGAAATTGGTCAGCGGAATGAAAAGGGAGAGGAGGAAAGAGGAGCGAGCGAGAGTAGATGGAGGACGTCAGGTATACGAAGATCGTTAGCTCGAAGAAAAATTAGCCGTTTGTCGGAGCCCTGCCCCGAAGATGGGTCAATCAGATACGAAAACACTTGTCGGGTCCCGGAGCATTGTGGTCGGCGAGGTAACAGGCCGCTACAAAAGGTAGTATAGACACAGGTATACGTCCTAATGACTGGCCCAAGAATTCAAACCTTCGCTATGGAAGTTGGAAGAGAACCGGAGGGGGAGGAGCTTGGCTTCCTCGTGTCATCTCATGGGATTTCGGGAAACTCGCGCGTGATTCACCACAGCGTTTGCCTCTTCGGCACCGGGGGGCATTGATATTCCTTCAGGATCGATCTAATGAGGATTTTTACGATTTGTATCGATCTATATTCCACATCACGCCTCTTGCCTGTCGAATATCTGCCACTTGCGATAACGATGACAGGGATGGCGGAACAATTGATGCATGACACTGTATGAGATACCATGGGTGTCCGGAGAGGGGGACAAGATAGGGCATTTGCCCCTCCTTCCCCTGGAATTTGGAATCATCAAAAAAGTTACATACTCTTTCTTTGAATAAACGTGTTGGCATGGGCGTCTGCAGGAGGGGAGGGGGGACAAGCGGTGCACATGCACCCCCCTGGAAAATGAAAAAAAATTCATAACCATATTCATTTCATATTTTCAATGCCTACATTCCTCATTTAACAATAACATTTTATATCATGTCCCTTCCCCTGAAAAAAATCCTGGACGTGAGATACCGTTATAACAGATGCGATATTTTGTCGAGAACTTAGATAATAATCTTTCCTATGGCTTGAAATTTAAAAAAATATTCTCTTAAGAAAATTAGAGAAGAAATCTTAAAATATTTAAATGTTCATTAAGTATTTAAGTCAATTGATAAAAATAAATTTTTTCTTATAACAAAAAAGAAATTTATAATATATAAGTTTCTGTTAATGTACGAGTATTGAAAGTCGGAAGGGATTTAACTACCGAGATAAGAGAGATACGAAAAGAATTTCAGTTCCGATCTCGGAAGTTGAAGAATGTTGATGCGATTTTCGCGGTAGATTGGTTCTGGGTATTGTTGAAATAGCACGGGTGTTCTAAAGTGACGACACTCGGTTAAAGCCAAGTGGAGAATCGTGTCTGGTACAGGTTCCGATCTGTCAGGGCGTGGTCGTAAACTTTAGTGCCCACCCGTGCATATAGTTCGGAGACCACCTCGTCCTGTCGGCGTTCGTTCGTTCGCCATCGATACGATGACTTTCTCTCCTTTTTTTTCCTCTCTGTTTCTTCTTTCTTCCTTTCACGACGCGTTCCCTTTCCGGTTTCTAGAGCGAGAAACACATCGGACCTACTTGCCGCCCAAATCAAGATAGAGCAGCTGGCCATAAAACGTAAATGGGGTTATTGGCCCGAGAAAGAGCGTAAGAGAGAAAGAGAGAGAAAGGGAGCTTTTATCCCGGTAATAGATTTCCACTTTGCCGCAGCACTGCGTTTAGCACGTCGCGCAGACTTTTTTCTCCACTTTTTTCTTCAGCCGGTTCGATCACGAATTTTATAGTCGACCTTATAACGTTGCGTTAATTATTACCACGTCTCTTTGAGACTGAGAAAAAATTTCGTCTGTTTTGTCCGTAATTAATTATACTTGTAGCATAATTAATTGTGTAGCGTCGAAATTCTTACTGAAGATTCCTTTTCGTAGAAAATTAATGTTATTTATTAATGGTATTTTTCTGTAATTAAAGTTTGGTTGGATAATTAATTTATTTTATAAATCTCAGTGTAAAAACGTCATCAGTAAAAAAGTTAGTAGGAAAAAATCATCAGTGCTATCAATAAGTTTGTTTGTATAAATTGTATATTCGCAACTATATCTGGCAGTGGGCCAATGTAACTATCAAGCTGTGAATTGAAACAGTCGCAATTATTTGTGTTGCGAAGCACTCGATAGGTTTATGCCCAATTTCTTTCGAAGGTTAAACTATATTATTTAGCTTCTTATTTTAATTCATCCATTTTCACACGCACAATCTTTCTAATTTCTATAATTTCATAATATAATTACATGGAATTATGCGTTTAATATTCAAGTTATTACGAAAGTGTAACAATATGAAAGAATGCAAAGTTTTGCTCTCTTATATTTATTATTGCGAGTTAAATATAAAAAAGTAATCCAATAAAACTGGATTTACGTGTAAATTTAAAAAGTTGCAGTTTACTTTTCATATTACAAGATATCTACAGTCGTATTATTTTGAAAAATATATAGTTCTAAATAACTTTTAATTTTTTTTCATTTTAATTTTTTAAATATTTGTTAATATTTGATAGAAAGAATCTTTTCGTGTTTACAAGTTTGGATTACAAAAACTATAAACTCGTTATTGAAGATATTTTTTAAATCGAATTATCTCGATATATCTCGTAGTGTATGCGCGCGATCAGCTGATATACGTCAAGTTGAGCGTGAATGAGACATCCGTCACCATCTAGCGTACGCGGCACGTGACTCGTCGCGATTCATTCGCACAACGTACGATGGTACACATGTATTCATTCACAATGTGCGAGGGCGCTACCATCATCCTCTCCCGCTTCCTCGCCCTCGTCGTCAGCAAGTACTAGCAGGTGCTATTTGACCGCGTTTAAGATCAGTTCGTGTGTACTCATTCGTCGCATTGAACAGTCTGTTTTCACTTTCTGACTGGCATCTGGTGATCTGCAAGCCACGACGTCATTTACGCTGTATTGCGACGTAAGTCTTCATCTTTTAATTTGTCTCTAACCTATATAGGTTATTTAATATGACTGTCCTCGGAAAATCTCGGACTATCCCTGATTAATCTGCGATTCTAGAAACTTTCACCGCGTTTCCTCTCGTGAACAATTTTTCGCTCAATTGTTCGCTTGCGGCCTTAATTGCGTTATATGTTCTGCACACATCATGTTTTCGAATTCATGTACGTATTTGCGAGATCAGCTCTATCACTTCTTGACATGTATACGGAATGGATGTTGCAATAAAAAATGTCATTGACTGAACAAACGAAAATATGTGGAAACTATTATTCAACACTTTATATATAATCATATAAAAATAATATAAATATTCACACATATATAAATGACAATGTACATATATATATATGTAAATTGTACAATCTCAATTGTAACTGCTTTATACATATTTTCATTATTACTATAATTATTATACTAATTAACTGCTTTATACATAGCTACATTATTATTTTGCATATGTTAAACATATATACTTCTATTGCATTAGACAATGTTTTTATTGTAGAAAAATAATCGAAATGAAGAGATAACTCTTATCTATTTATCCTCATTTCTCTTAAATAATAACAATATTCTCTTACAGTGCTAGTTTTCTCTCTCTTCCTTATCTTTATTTTTATGGTTGTTATTTACATACATATCTTTTAATATCATATCCATTATTAATGTTTAATCAATGTTTTTATTAATTTAATATTCCATTTTATTTGCTTTCACAATTCCAAAATTAAATTTAAAAAGTTTAAGTAAATATTTAAGTATTATCTTCTTATATTTCGTATATTTCTTATTTAGGAAATTTACATTTTATTTAAGAATTATGACGGTCAATTATTCATTTGTGTGAGTTTTCACGAATATATAAAGTCATAATATTTCGCGGTTTTTACATTTCCGGTTTTTAAAAAATATGATGTTACACGCGTATGCATGACGTAAATTGTGTATAAATACACGTGGCCTGACTTGGCCATCCCAAGCAAAAAATCGGATAAAACCGATTATTTTTTAATCAATTTTTTTATTGTATTAAAAAGGCATATCCTCAATTAATTTTTAATAATTCCCCCGTTAATTTTTATCAAATAAAACATTAGATATACAGGATATACATTAGATATACAGATATACATTAGGTATACAGGATGAAATGAGATACGAAACTGACTTTAAATAAATATTTTGAATAGATAAGTTATATCTAACCTTGCTTTATTTTATATTGGAAAAGTTTTCTTTATTATGTCTTATCACATTCATATTTTTTTCATATAATTCCAGAAAAATGCAGTACCATTTGCCACTATTTTTAATAGCTTTAATATTACAAACATCGGTCGCACCACCTGTGTCGCAACAAAAGAAGGATGGGGATAAGGATAAAGAGAACGAGGTCGATGACATGGAAAATATAGTAAGTTATTTTTAAAATGATTCTATTAATTTCTAAATTCTTCTGCAATATTATGAATTATCGTCTTTAGGGAAACGAATATCAGGTAGAATATAACAGATATTTAAGGGAAGTAGTGCAAGCTTTGGAAACTGACACGAATTTCCGCGCAAAATTAGAAAAGGCTAATGAAGATGATATACGTGTAAGTATTATAAGAATAATGGATGTTTAGATTGTGCGCTTGACAATTGCCCGACATTCGGGTTTTCCACTCTTATCATTTCTCATAAATTAAGAAATTTATTTGAACAGAAATAAACCTCTATAATAATTTAGTGAAAGTATTAATTATTTTACTATGAATGAAAATATATAGAAAGCGTGGTACAATAAAACATGGCATCATAAAAAAGATATAATAAAAAAGAAGAAAGAGAGAAAGGTCTTTCCACACTGAATCAATGTATTGTTTTGAAATCGAAATGTTTTAGAATATTAAATAATAATTTTTTTAACAATAAAATTGTATAATGTAAAAATTTGTACGAATTTTAATAAATAAAATTTTATATAATAAAATAGTAGGAGAACATTAAGCGATTAAATCGATATTTATAACGCGACCATTGAAGAGTTAAACATTTATTATTTTCAAAAGTCTATTTGAATTAAAAGTTTATATTTCTTTATAATAATAATAATAATAATAATAATAATAATAATAATAATAATAATAATAATAATAATATTCATTAATAAATATTTCATAATAATAATATTTCATAAATATTTCATAATAATTCATTAATAATTATAATATTATATATATATATATATATATATATATATATACACATATATATACACACACATACATATAGACGGGAAAAATAGCACACGAACTACAGTTCGTGGATCACAAAGTCAGGACAAAGTTGGACGAATTAAAACGAGAGGAATTGGAAAGACTGAGACATCTTGCTACCAAAGAGCATAATCTAATAAATGGTCTAGATCTGAATCATTTGAATATAGCAGATCATTTGGATCATTCCAACACACATACGTTTGAGATAGATGATTTAAAAAAATTGATTGCCAAGGTAAGAGTTTTCATATTTTTGTAAAATAAATAATAAGTTTTGATACAAGAATTGTTTCGTTCGATAAAGATATATTCAGTAATAGTTACTAATATTTACTATATAATAGTTAGTAATATAAATATTTGTAGACTACGAAAGACTTGGCGGACGCTGATAAACGAAGACGCCAAGAGTTTAAAGAATATGAGATGGAAAAGAAATTTGACGAGGAACAAAAGATGAAGGGTAATACTGGTACAGAACGTAACATTCTTCTTTAGATTTAATTATTTATTAACTAATATTATTCTTAAATTAGTAATAATTATCAAAATTTAGTAAATAATTCTAAATTATATAATAAATAATAACATTAATTATTATTTAACGTTTTGAATTAACATTTTTCAATCTTGGAAGGTATGAAAGAAGAAGAGAGAAAGAAATATGAAGAGGAACTAGAAGCGATGAAAAAGAAACATAGAGATCACAAACCAGTAAGTTGGAAAAACGGATACAAGTTTTCTTCTATTTTTTTCTCTATTAAGTAATATGAATTTTCAGTTACATCATCCTGGTAGCAAGCAACAACTGGAGGAGGTATGGGAGAAACAAGATCATATGGAAGACCAAGAATTTAATCCTAAAACGTTCTTTTATCTTCATGGTATAAAATATCATTTTTAATAATACATGTAATTTCATCACATTAAAGAAAAGATCATACTTATGCATATAATTTTAAATTAATTTAGATGTAGATGGTAATGGTTTCTGGGACCAAGATGAGGTGAAAACTCTATTTCTGAAAGAATTAGATAAACTTTACTCTGAAGGTGCTCCAGAAGATGATATCTTTGAAAGACGTGAAGAAATGGAAAGAATGAGAGAACACGTGTTTAACGAAGCTGATCTTAATCACGATGGTCTAATAAGGTACTTACTTCAATAAACTATGAAATTTTACATTTAAAATATTTTAATTAATTGTCATAGAATCACAAGCAATAAGAAGAAACATATTTATATTTTTATTTATTACAGTTATCAAGAGTTTTTGGAACAGACAAAGAAGCCCAATTTCCAACAGGACGAAGGATGGCAAGGATTGGATGAACAACAGATGTACTCTAAGGAAGAATATGAAGTTTTCCAGAAACGTAGACAAGAAGAGATACAAAACATGATTGCCAAAGGAATGGTGAGCTTAATTATCACATGCAATTCTGTGTAAATGCACTTAAAAATGAGTAGAGAAATCATGACTTCACAAATTGTGTGTATCAATAACTGCTACAAGATTAAATACCCTCACATATGTCGAGTGATTTTATTTTTTTATATTATTCTTTTGGATAGGCTTGAACGCAATCTAAATAATTTCCTGTCTGTCGATTTTGTTGTATACTTCTTCGACAGCATGTTTGAGATAAAGATAGAAAATGTACTGCTTTATCTTTCAATTAAATGGTAGGCCTTTGTATAGACGCGGCTATAGTTATAAGCACATTTGTTAACTTGTCGTTTGACAAACTTGCATAATCGTTATCTTGCTTCGATTAAAAGACGAGTCACCCATAGTAAGTTAGAATAATTAACCTAGCTTGTGCACTTTTTGTTGTTTTTGTTAGTTACCACCACCCCCTGATTCTGCACATCTACCTGTTCATGAACAGGTAAGTAGCTATGAAATTGTGAAGTATTTGCAAATCTGAATTTCTTATCAAGCTAGTAACTGTCTCTCTTTAACGCATTTCTCGTTATATTTCAGTTTCCACCACAATACCAACAGCAGCTTCAATCCCAGCAGTATCATCCGCAACAAATACAATCTTCACAGCAATATTCAGGACAGATATCACCACAACAACCGATAGGCCATGTGCCACAGCAATATCAGGGACAAATGCCACAGCAACAATTCTATCAGCCTCCGCCACAGCAACCTTATCCTGGTCAGATTCCACAGCAGCATCAATATCAAGCACAGCAGCCACAGTATCAAATGCCAGCAGTACCGCAGCAGCAACAGTTCCAAGCTCAACCACAATATCAGGGCCAGCCACAACAAGCTCAGCAACAATTCCAGAGCCAGCCTCAACAAGTTCAACAACAATCTCAAGGCCAACCTCATCAGAATCAGCAGCAAAAGCAACAGCAGATGCAAAATCAAGTGCCACAGAATACTCAGAATACTGAGAATAATGCCCCATCGAACAATCAAGGAGTTGCACAACCCAGCCACAATCTTCCAGAAAATCCAAAATCCATTGAACAGCAAATTAGTCAGAACATTGTACCAAAAGTGCAGAAGGTGTAGATAACGCAGAACGCCGACCATATAAATGTATGGTAAAAGTGTTCTTACTTTATTTCATTGTAAATCGATAAAAATATAGGACAATTCGATTGTTTCCGATTCAAAGGGGTTATATAAATTTTTTTTTTAATTTGTAATTTTAGAAAATGCAATTTTTTTTAATTTTAGAAGGTACAAATATAGGTATACATTTTACAGAAAATAATTATATATATATATATATATATATATATATATATATATATATATATATACACGTACATATTAAACTTGTTTTTTGTAAATTATTGAATTTCTTTAACAAAAATTGTTCCTAGATATGATAACAAAAACTTTATTATTTTCAGAAAGTTGTTTCTTTATTTGATATTTAACAAAAATTAAAGCTATTTATATTGTATAAATATCTTAATCGCTTGAATAAATGTTTTCCGAAAAAGAATGATCAGAACTCCATATGTTATCTCTCAAAGTCCAGTCAAGGATTACATTTTTCTGCAAATTTAATGAAAATAAAGTTTCCTAATGTTTACGATTAATATATTTCATCAATAAATGAGTAGTTTTCATTGAAATTAAAAGATTTAAGAAAAAAGATAAAAAGGGAAAACTTTTTTATAAGGAATTTTTTGTTTTATAAGGAGATGCAGAAAGAGACACATCTTTTATTTCTCATATTTATTTGTTATTGCATACTGTTTATGTTAGTATATTACTTAGGTATACGTGCCAAGTAGCAACTTAAATGTATGATTGCGTGATTCATCTGTTTGTTCCACCCGTCAAGCGCGCGGATAGGTAGGTAGGTAGGTAGATAATGTAACTTGCTTACTCCACTATATATAGGGTGTATTTATAAGTATAGCATACCTCGCGGTAGAACGTCATCTTACGAGCTAATCGGTAATAAATAAAAATGGAACTCGGGGCCGGACTGAGGGGTAAGGAATTTAAAGGCTAGGAGCAGGGGATAGTTGGGAATGGGAAACGCGTTTAATAATGGGCGAACGATTCTGCGTTTCTGCGTCCGTGACTAAAGCAAACGGCACGCGAAGCAGCACGTCTTCGCGCGTTTTTTTTCTTTCTTTTTCGAAGTAAATCGGGAACGAACGTCGTTTTACGAGTCGTCGTCACGGCTACATCTCGCGCGCGTTATCACGCGTTGTCCGATACAACCTATATCGATATTTTTACCTATCGATATAATCTATATCGGTACGGGCGACTTATCCAACAAATTGGGCTACCTACTGAAAAGAAATACTTGCATGTGTGTGTGCTCCTTTCTCATTTTTCTTAAAGGCAGAAAATAAAAACGATAGTAACTCTATAAAATATTGCCGTTCGCCGTTGTCGTCGCACACGACGAGTGCAACGAGCGCGCTTATAATCGATAATACCATTTTCGCCAGCACTGTCTCGATTAAATCATTTTGAAGACTATGCTTTCAATATATATAATATACGATATATTATATGAGATATAATAAATTCCTATCTCAATAACATAATGACTATTTAACTAGAGATACATCATTCCTTTCAAATTCCTTTTTTAAATTATATTCATAAATATATATGTGACTACATTAGAGAAAAATGTGTCATTTTAAATAAATTTCTTAACTATAATTATAAATAAATGATTTGTTAGAGATTTTCTCGTCACTTGTAGCATTCTTCAATTAATCATAATTTTAAATATCTTAAATTCTTAAATAGCTCTAACAAATTTTTCATATATTTATCGTATAAATATATTAAAAAGATAGCCTTTCTTTGTGTGCTTTGCGGATTTAAAGCAGAGTATTGCCAAAAAATGTGCGATCGTAGATCTGAAATTGACGATATAAAAAGATAACGAGATATTATAAGACAGTAGTCTTATCTAGAAAATAAATAGGAAAAATCTGGTTACAGTAAGCAACTATTTCAAGATGTTGAAATAATTATTCGACTCTGTAGTTTCAATATTCATTGCGGACGTCGCACATTTTATTTCCGTAGTTGAATCGAGACAATGCCTGAGAGACGCAAGCGTTCACCGACGACTTGGGCACATGTCAAAAACGCTTTCGGCATAAAAGAAGGACCTCTTTTTTTCATTTGAAAGACGCCCGTTCGCGGTTCGCTCTGCGTCTCTGACGAGCAAAAGGATCGAAATAAAATCCGGATCTTAGGCTATACTTAAAGGAAAGTTCTCAACGAGAACTCCATGAGAAATAAATATGTTACACGTTATACAGTGATAACGATGAAATCTTGCCGTACATGCTCCTCTTCTATTTACAGTTAAGACGAACAATCTCGTGTGCCCCTTCTCATTCTTTCGACTTTTTGAAGAGTGTAGATGTATTATGTATGTCCGTGTGTCTCTGTTTATATGTGTGTTACTTGGGGAGAGGGCTCGTGTGCGATTAAATAACCGGATTCTGGAAAGTGTGCGAGAATCCTATTGCTCGACTAATAGTTCTCGCAAAATGAAAGATGCCACACCTAAGTTGTCCTTTAAACGTTAACTATGGTAGAGAAACGGAAACGCGGCGTATATCTTCGCGCGGTTCCGACGACGCGCTTCGCGTGGGAGGCTCGGACTCGCACAGTCGCACCTTCTCTTGCACATACGACTGAACAATTATTTTGTTCAAATAATTCAGTGCGATTGTATACGCCAGCCTGAACCTTTCCACGGCGGGAAAACGCCGTCGACGGCCGCGCGTCCTGTAAACTAGTCGTAAATCGTGTGTACGGAGACTACTTATGCTCTGTTTATAGTCGGCTGTCGCTGTACGCTATGCAATTCGCTCTCTCTCTTTCTCTCTCGTAGCTTTTTTTTTCTCTCACCATTCAATACCGCGGCAATAACGACGATCAAAGGAAAGATTTCACGCGTGCGTGGAACGAAAGCTCTCGCCGATCGGTTGCATGCGTGTGATCTGAAACTCCTGGACTACCCGCATATCGATAGTCGCTCTTGCGAGAGAGATAGTTTTGGCTTTTACATCTTTGAAATCTTTCATCAGATCCGATTAACAAATTTAATTATTTTATTAAATCTATATATAATTTGTGTATTTTTTGAAATTCTTTTATATTTGTAATACAAAGATATGAAAGAATATTTATAAAATTAAATTGTGTGAATTCAACGTGAGATAATTGCAATTACGATTTGTCAGAAAAGAAGAAAAGGAGAAGGAAAAACTAGTTAGTGCGTCTATCGATAAACGGGATACGCGTCCACGAGCTGAGAAACTGAATTGGCTCTCTAAGGTAGCGCCAGAGTCACGCACGTCCATTCTTTTTTTTTTTTTTTTTGTCGGCCCGATAAAAACCCTACGAGCTATTTTGTCCTCTCGATTCTAAAACCTTCAGCCTTTAGTTTATCTAGCGCAAAACTCTGCCCGTGAACTTTTGTTTCGTCCTCAACGACGTTCGGAAAAAAGAACCGCGGCCTCTATATTTCGCTTTATCTCTCGCTCTCTCTTTCTCTCTTTCGCTCGCGTTCTCTCTCTTTCGCGCAATAAACACACCTCAGTATATCCTACAGCGTCAATATATCAATTTTTTATATATATATTTATATATATAATATACTTTTTTTCTCATATATATATTCACTTTTTGTTCTATATCAATAATAGCGTATTAGATGCTTTTTTTGTTCACTTACATCTTAGGTATGTAATATAAGTATTCTTTTTTTTTCATCTGTTCACAGATACATATATGTATATATCAAAAATGTGGAAACAAAAGGGTCCTCTCGAAATAGCCGTTCTCCGTTCTACCGGTAAGCTGTTCCTCTTTCATCTTTTTTTCCTCAAGTTCTCTCCTCATATCTAAAGTATACGTCGACTTTATTTGCTGGGAAACCAAAAAGGAAAACATCTCAAGAATATGCCATTCAGGGTATTACCTGTGTGGATTGATCCAAAACACAAATTTTGTCGGGTAGTTTGTTGCTTCGGACATTCATTCTGACATGCACACAGAGTTCGTAGATATGTTGCGTATGCGACATAGGAGAGAGCTTGTTGATTAACAAAATATATTTCGTTCATCGCGCAATTATCTCAAAATTATTGGATCGAACATATAGAAAAGAATACTCTTTTTTCGCCAGTGGCTTAGGAACTATCGAAAACCTTGCGTTGAAGAACGATACAACTATAAATCTAATGAAGGAACAGAACATCACCGTGAAAATTGAAAGAAATTTTCTAAGAAATTGAACATTGATGCAAATGTAAAAATTACATATGTTAAATTTGAAAGGTGGAATGCTTTTTATATTTATAGAATATAAATTAAATCAAGTCAAGAGTTTAATTGAACATTAATATTCACTTAATTTAAAACGAAATAAGGACAAAAAGAGGATATGAATTATATAGAGACATTTCTCTCTCTTCTGAGGTTATTAATTTAGCTGCTGCTTTCTCTTTCTCTCGATTTAATCGAGAATAAAGATAAATTTTTTTTTATATCGAGAGTGTGTCCTAGAACATAGAATATTAATAAAAAAAAAAAAAAAAAAAACAAAGTGTCAATCTTACGCAGCATATCTACAAACGTAATCTCACGAATAATGCATTCAGCAGAATTTCGAATGACTTTTTCTCGTCGCTTAGTCAAGTGGTCACGGTCTACGGGACACTTAATTTTTTTGGAAGGCACTTACTACTTTTTTTCTTTTTATACAATATTTAATTTTAAACTCTTTCGCATTCGCTCTCTCTCTTCCCCACGCTCTCGCGACCTCGTGTATTCTCTCTCTCTCTCTCGTTTTCTCTCTCTCTCTCTCTTTCTTTCGTTCTTTCTCTCTTGTCTCTTTCATCTCAATTTTTCGCGTTTCGGCTTGCGCATTTCTCTAGTAAATTTTAACTCTCCGTTCGCGTAATCTTTTTCTTTTTTTACCGTCGCACGTCTCGCGCGAATTTATGTTTGAACACATTATGCCTAAATGGTAAATAGAATTCGCGCTTTTCGAATTTCTCGTCAAAATGAAAAACGTGGTCGATCGAAATATTGCAATGCGTATACTAAGAATAACTCGTCGTCTACGTCGCTTCGCGAAACCGTTGCGTTTTCGCACAAAAATTGCTTGTATCAAGAATAACGTGTTACTTTTTTTTTTATTTTTGGCTTGACCGATGTTTCATTTCCCTAATCGCCGATACGTGCTACGAACGCGCGATTCCTTCCTCTTTCTTCATCCGGAAATATTCTGGCTGCATGAGCGTGGCGCGAGAATCAATTTTCTTCCTTCTGTGATTTTTTTAATCCTCTCTTTCGTAAAAGTTTCCCCAGACAAATGGATAACACGGATGGCTTGTTTCGCCAAAAGCCTCGTACGAGCAAAAGCGAAAAGCGATGATCTTTCCCTTTCACCGAAGGCCACTTCGATTTTTTTTGTTTATTTTTTACACTTACATTGAGTCTCTTTCTCTCTCTTTCTCTCATTCTTACACACTTTTTCTTTCTCTCTCCGTTTCACACGCGCGCGCGCGCGTGCGCGAACTAGCGTGCCGATATTAGATTTCTCAAAAAATTCCGTTTCTTTTTTGTTACGATAAATACATTTAGAAGTAAATTGTTTGAAAAACTATCGATTCGTTTATAGTGATATTAATGAAACTTTCAGATTAGCACCATCGAAAAACGATACTTTATGATAATCCAATTTGAAATTGCAGAACCGAATTTAGCATAGATGATCGATTATAAGATCCAATGAATTTTAATTGCGCCCGATAATTTTGCCCGATTTTATTAGAATTTTATAATAATAAAAATGTCTGCTTATTCACAGTAATAATGATCAAATGAGGATCTTTACATTAGCATCATTTTGAAAAGTAATACTTGGCAAGTCTAGGATTTCAAATTGACTCAATTTTGCAAAGACGATCTACTAACTTCAATAAATTTTAATCGTACGTAATCTTGCTCGGTATTAAAATACTTCTTCACTCCAACTGGTCGGCACGGCTCGTTCATCGATTGTCGAGGACTCGAAATCACGCGCGACATGTAAAATTTTGAAAAATAGCACGATCTTTCGAAAGAAGAAACGCACGCACACGAGTTTTTTTTTCAATTCATTCACTCTTTCATCCGTTCATACTCGCGTTCGTACTAGCGTTCACATTCGCATTCAGGCCCGTATTCAGATTCGTAATCTCGCACCGATGCACACATTCGTGGTCGCCGAACTCACCGAAATTTCGACACGGTCTGTCATGTCGAGCCACAGTTTCTCGTTCCCTAATCCCTAAACCTTATAATTTTTATACTTGGCATACCCCAAATATGGCAGGAAGGCAATCATTATACTTAATAACGTTATAGCGATCATCTCGGCCTAGAGTGTGCTCGCTTTATAAGCCGTTAAATTTGTTTTCTCCGTCTCTAAATACTTTGTCTTACCTTTTTCCTTCTGTCGTTCTTTCTCTCTCTTTCTTTCACTCCCTAATTTTTCTTTTTGCTCGTTTTTTCTTGCTTGGTAGACAGTCATAGTGAATTTTGTACACCTCCCTCACGTTCTTTTATCGAGCTTAGATCAGTGACGTCGCTTACTGCCCATCAAAAAAATAGTACTCTTGCACAAAGCGTCGTGGACAAAATTGAGATTTTCTGTTTCGGAGAGATTCGTAGCAAAATTTATCGTCCGCTTACTTATGTTAAGACGTTCGACGCAGAAAGAAAGAAAACTTTACATTATCGAAGCAGTATAAAAAACCAGATCCATTTAGCGTATATCTCTCATAAATCATACATATGTATATGATTTATGTTTACAAAATAATTTACAAAAATAAAAAATAATTTCGCGATATCTATAATTTTTTTCGCGATGTATATTAATAATAAAAAAAAATCTTACTTTTAGTTTCTTAAAATAATTTAAAGCAAACCTTTGCGTGATACCTAAGAATTATCAAGGTATATCACAAACTGATCCATGACATGTTGTGTAAGGACTCGATAGTACAACTAGCTCTGTTCGAGGCGGCTTACTCTCTCGTCGAGATTTGTCTCGAATAATCAATCATTCGGCAGTAGGCGACCCCTTACGAGTTATTATACATTTGGCATTAAAAGTACAGTTATCATATATGCGTAGGTATAAATTTTCGAATGTGTATCTTGTGTATGGCGCGCTCGTGTTTCTCGTGTGTGAGTGTATGTATGTTCATATATGCGCTCGTGTGTAGCGTGTAGGTTTTACCTTTATTACATGTACATAGTCTGTACGACACGACGATGACACGACTATCTAGATTGGAAAAAGGTGGCGGCGCACTCGCGGGGCGCCGGCAACCCAATAGCTATAGTATGTTCGCTAGAAGAAGGTTTTACTCTCTCTTTTTTCTCTGTTTTTCTCTTTCCTGTTGCAGGAGAATCGATTGAGCGATTTTCGTCTAGTCTTCACGATCGCTAAATCATACTTGCTCGATATTAAACCAGGCGAGAAACTCTCTACGCTTATCTCGTTTACGCTGTGTTTCTGTATTTTTTTTTTGATTGTAAGCCTCTTTCTCTCTAACATCCTTCTACTCGTATGCACAATATATCGCGCTCGCGTACAATGTTCAGAGTCACGTATATGTTATACATATATACTATAAACTCTCTCCCGCGCGCGAGGAGGCAAAGTGCCGCAAAGTGAATCGGACAAAGCTCGATTCTTCGCGAGAGGCGTCAAAGTGACTCTCAGCACCTACCGATCCGCATCACCGGGCCTCGACCGTTAACGGCTTCGAAGAGAGAGGTCCTCCTAAGGTGTCATCGACGCTCCTCGTTCTTCCTTGGCCGGTGATCTTGCAGCGGTGACGTCGTCGTTTCCGCTCCTCGTCCCATAGCCACCGTAACGATGGCTTACTATTCGCAGCGCGAGTCCGTGAGCGGCTCGAGCTTCACTGGAATCTTATCTTTGTCTTTGAGACCGTGGGGACTCTTCACCAGGTCGGCGATGTCCTCTTGGAAGAGATTCTCCGGACGCGGACTGACGAAGCTTCGCGCCGGTTTATACGTCATGCCGCTCACGCCGATGCCGACCTCCACGCTGCTAGGTAGGTGACCCGCCGGATCCATCAGCGGACCCAACGGACTCGCCAGAGGACTCTCCATCGGGCTCTCGGGTGGTCCGCCCGAACCTGGACTCGCTAGACCGAGATTCAATGGGGAATTGCCATTGTTGCCAATACCACTGCCACCGAGGCCACTCGCGTTACTGCCACTTGTATTATTGTTATTGTGATGCTGGCTAGCTTGCATCGCTGCCTGTAAATTTGACGACAGACTAGAGGACAGGCTTGTCGACAGATTCGTCGACAAATTCGTCGCCATCATGTCGTGTTGCTGCGAATGCGCTGCCGCTACCATACTGCACATCTGATGTCGAAGACCTGGATAATAAAGGTGAGATTAGAAAGATTAGATTCTTGATAAGCTGAGTTAAATAAAATATAATTAAATAAATAATATTGCTTAATAATAACAGAAAATTGCTGAAAGTTTCTTTATTTCAATTAATATTTATATCGTAATCTTTTTCGACTTTTTAGACTCAAATAATTTTTAGAATTAAAAGAACCATTTCTTTTTATACATCTTGTTGCAATTTTGCAGATTTTTAATTGCGTTGTAAAAAGTGTTTAGAATTGAAAATATTTCAATAAAATTTAGTTTATAAAAGTTAAAGTGTAAGAGAAATAAGAGAAACTTTTGGAATAAGATTGCATTTGTTACACGAATATATCTCGCTTCTACAACATCAATTTAGACAATTAAGAAATAGGGAATGCCTGGTGTCATTACCTTGAGCGACCGCCGCAACCGCGGCCGCGGCCGCCGCACCCGGGCTGACCGCGCCTTCCGGACCGTTGCAGGCCGCGTAGTTCGCCAGGGTAGGGTATATCGTGGTCGGCTCCTCTTTGACGATATGGGGTGAGTGCCCGTCGCGGAATACCACCGCGCGAATCACACCACGGATGTGCTCGTCCGGCCAGACACCCAGCAGAATCCTCTGCGGTCTTCCTCTTCCCTTTGGGCGCAGATCTACATGTAGAAGAAAAACAAAGGATTGGAAAAAAAAGACGAGAAGAATATACATTTCACTAGAAATCGATTCTACAATTGTACACGTATATTTTGAAAATCGCGATATTTCGATAATTGTGATAAGCATTCGAAAGACTTTGAATTAGATGGAAAAGATGGGAAATTATAATATAAAGAGCTCTTCGATTTTATTAATGAATGAATCGCGTCACAAAATCTTGCATTAATTAGGGATACATAGGGAATGAAAATAATTGCGAAGAAAAATTTTTTACAACTCTGATTGTCAATCATAAATAATTGATAAATTTTATTATAATTTATAAGTATAGAACATTCTGTAATATTACAGAATGTAATATGCTAATGAAGCGTATAGTAAGATGCATAACTAAACCATCGAGTATTAGCTTGGTCAATATAATTGCACGATGTAATTATGACTTTTACGAGCGTAACTGAGTCTTTGGATTATTCTTCTCCTGATCGGCCATCGGTTATTAACTATTTACAATTGGTTACACCATCACGGCTCATTAAGCGAGTCCTTCGTGCGACTAACTAGGGTCTTGAGAGGGTCTTAAGTGTGACGATCTTTAAACGAGAAAGTAACACGTTATAGAATTTTAAGCTCGTATTCGTATATTTCATACGGACTTAAATAAATTAAATGCGAGAATAAAAATTTCTTTTGTATATGTATCTCTTAAAAAGATACATCTTAGAGAGTATACACTTTTAAATCTGCAAGAATTTTATTTTCCCGACAAATCAAAAATTTGAAATAAGTCTTCACCCTTGACGTTAATAATCTGTTGTCGTTAAATATCTAATGTCGGCATTAATCTAGGTCTTATCACTGAGGGACATATACCTTGACTGAACAGTTCTTAGAGGATAAATGACAACTCACCAGCCCCACCGTCGGCGCTAGGCCCCAGCATATTGTGCACTCGATTAGCGTACAAAACGAACGTTGGATAGGGGATGTCGTATTTTCTGAAAGGGGAAAAACAACATGTATTAGAATTTACAGCTTTTTATTCTGCGCTATATTTTACACATACCCACACTCGCACATTGCATTATATTTCTTAATTTATTTTACATGTTATATATTATCTTATCTGATTGTATTTTAATATTATTTTATGTTTATTTCATTTCATTACATTTCATTTTCATTTATATTAATTTTATCATACCGTTGATATAAAAGATTCAACAAAATGTATTTGAATGCATGGGATGGATGGATGAAAATTATGCAATCTCTCGAAATGATGTAACCGCGTGGGAGAAATACAAGCGGTGACATGACGCGTTTAATAAAATAATATAGCTTCTCGCAAGAAGTGACGAAACTCATATATTGTCTTATACTCTTCACTACGCGATTATTGTTATATTTTGTTGTTTCTTTTCAATTATACAAGTTATAATATTATTAAAAGAGTCAATAATGCTCCACGACTGAAAATCAGATACTCGCGAATCAAGAAGAAATTTATAAAATGCCATAGTCATATTACAATGGAGAACATTAGGAAAGCATTATCGATCGTCGAGTCGATTATCATAAAAATTATCGTTCGCTAACTCGTAAAGTTGCGCTTTATTGAGTCGCTTTGTACGCGAATTAAAAGAAATCCCTTTAACGGCGAGTCGACGTTGTTACGCAAACGTGATACAGACTTTACGACGCCTGCGCGCAAATGATTTTAAAGCAGCTGCTTTGAACGGTAGATCGGACGATTATTCAGCGTGATTCAGACACGGCGATAAGATATGCCTGATGCAGTAATTTCCAGGAATTTTTCATTGCGTAATAATAATAACTCGGTTCTATTGTATATACACACATTCCTACACACATACATACACACACACACACACACACACCTGCATACATATAAATATAAATTATATACATGTGTGTGTGTGTGTACGTATATAATAAAGTTAATATATATACCACGTGCCGCATCATAAGACATTTATATAACAATTTTAACTATTTACCCGGTACATTGCGTGAGTTGGCGCGTTGGAGGAAACAACGCGGCGGAATAAACTCGCATAAAATATTTATCTTTCGCGTGTTATTTATTAACGCTGCAAAGAACACGCTACCTGGCGAGGCAAACTCTTGGGAGGATAAGCAATTTTTTAAAAATAATTCTTTAATTTTTATATTAACGCGCATTTCATCACCGGATATTAATATTAAATGTCGCGCACCGAAGTTTTATGCAACTGCGCGGAGTTTATTATTAATTTTATTATTGGTTCCATGCTACACATGCAATGGATGTGCATCGTATACAGAAAATGATTGCAACTAAATTAATTATTTTTGCAATATACGCGTCGGAGGCATTTCAATAATTTTTTAAATTAACGTGTTTTGTATCAGTCAGTGTATTAATATATGTAATACTGCTGAAAAAGTGCAATTAAATGAGATAAATAATTTTCACGAAACACGTTGAAAATATTTCAAGGTTTTTAAGATTTTAATACGATGAAATATCGATTAGATTAATATTATATTCGATACCTCCTCCCCTCGGGTCTCTCTCTCTCTCTCTCTCTCTCTCTCTCTCTCTCTCTCTCTCTCTCTCTCTCTCTCTCTCTCTCTCTCTGATTCTAATATTTTTAAATAAACAGTTCTTAGCAACCGATTCTTCTTCAACAAATTATGTCACAGTGTCCATAGCACTTTAGTTTATTAATGCCATTGAAGAAACACACACACACGCGATAAATATGGCTTATGGGACGTACCTTGCCGCTTGGCTGAGGGAAAGCCCTTCCTTTAGGACGCTGAAGATCGCCTCTGCCATAGTTTCCGGCCGCCAGGACTTGAGGGGTCCGCGTTCTCGAAAGCGCAGATTGTGCACCAGGCTCTGGTTGGTGTTCCAGCATTTTTGCCACATGGATTGGAGCTGGTACTGGTAGCTGTCTGCTAGTTAACGCCCCCCGTGGAAAAGAGAAAACACAGAAAAGCAGCTATTAGTTGGGGTGATCGATAGTTCAGGGGGATAGGGTAGGTTTAGGGTGAATAAATATCCTCGTTATTGCATGATTTTTTTATTAATCGATCATCTATCGCGTAGACTCCCGTCCCGTTCGATCGCGATCGAAACGGAGGGGGCACGAATCGCCGTTTTTCGCGTTTACGATTCCGCAAATATGCAATCTTAGCATCAAATCGATAAGCGCGGTCTCGATGCACGCAGGTGCATCAAAACGTTTGTACCTCGAGCGTGGGCGGAGTCACCTGGAAAACGACGCTTGTAAGGAAGACAGGTGCGTTACAGGTGTGTGAGCAGGTTGCGGCGAGGTAAGTCGAAGGAATTACGCTTTTCTAGGCGAAACGTAAATATCGATTGTATTGACGTTGTCGTACAATCGTTACAGAGCGTTATAAAGTCGTCGCATAACGAGACAATCGCGTCGCGGTGAGCGTTAACGCGTGCGTTACGTTAAATGGTACTTAACGCTACTTAACACGAACAAGTAATTACTGCGTCGCGGAGGCTCTCGAGAAATGCAGGATGGCGTATATATATATCTTAAGACGCGTCTTAAATCAGAAAGTCAGGAAGCATCATAAAACATGCCTCGTGTAACTGCTACTCGTAATTAGTTTTAAGACACGCGTCTTTCAGATGTGTAATTATCCTCGGATAATTAAAAAATTTGTGTAATTGTGTTCAGAGTAACTTTCCCTCATTGCACAACAAATACTGTTTAAAGAGAAAAAAAATAAAATAAATCGAGTAAATTCCGCTTTAACGCGCTAGAAACGTTCCTAATATAACAATAAGAACAACGTATAAAACGGAAATGAAATTTAAATAACGGTCTGTTTGCAATCTATAATCGTTCAATTTTAACATTGGCATTAATCAGAAATCCGAGATCTAGAAATCTTGCACAATAAGAGGTAAACGTTACTTTGCACACGTTATTAATTTATCACATACCGCGCTCGTGCATTATAAGTCTCCTTGATAGAGTATTTTTCAACGTTGCGTGCGGAAAGATTTATCAACAAACATCTGCATCGGCTTGGAGAAATATTTGTGACGTAAAAGGAGCGGAGAAGTCTAACAACGAGCGAAAGAAATGCCCGGCGGCGACATTTACAATAACTTCCGCCGCTCGCATATGGCACGTATGGCCGGCCTCAATTCGCAACGATTATTTAATACTTAAGTTATTGACTCTAATTAAGAGCCTCCTGACCAATTTGACGATTAATACAATTCATTGGAAAACGCGCGCGCGGCTATTCCGTCTATTCTTAGACCCGCATTCTCGCGCGGTGCGCGTTTAACTCGAAAATCCTCGTCGCACGAATATTCGACAACAATTCGAGGATATCATAGTCGAACATGTTTACGTCGCATTTAACGCCGAGTACAACCGAGAATGCGGACAATTTCGGAAATTCCGCCATTGTGCGCGCGCGCGCGCACACACATACACACGCATACATACAGGCAATCCTCTAATTTAAATTATTTGATTTATCTAAAAAAGGCACTAAGTACAATACATTTTTTTACGGTCGCTTTCGAGCAATCAGCGAAAGTGCGATTCTTTACTTCGGACACAGGAAAAATTTTCGCGTTCGTCGAATTCGTTCGCGATCTAATCTGACTCTATCGGGGGGGCGCGGGGGGGGCCAGAATCGTTCTACGCTATCGCGCGTTCGCAGATTCCGCCAGATTACACTTTGTTGCTCGCGATCACCTCCGTAGCGGCATCGTAACGCGGCCGTTTTACGGCCTTCCCGCGAGATATCGTCCCTTGCTTTCGATACTTTATCGGGGAATGTCGCGTATATATTCGCCTATTTTAATACCACTCATTCACACTTAATTTTCTCTCCTCGCGCTCTTTCTCCTTTTCGCGTTCTCAGGCACACTTTGCCGCGCTCTCGGCGTGTCACACTTTTAGCGGACGCGCGATAACAGCGGTATAATATTACATCGTTCTCGCCGGGATTCAATTAACGCGCCGCTCGTAAATACGCGAGCTGCGAGTCCTCCCCCCCGGGGACGACGATCAACGATAATGTGACGCGAGAAGTGCACCAACGCGTCGCCAAAGAGGAAGGCAGGCGTCGTTGTTTCGAGCTCGGGGGCCTCGAGCGAGTTTGCGAACAATAAAACGTAATAATCCGCGCGAGAAGGTACCTTTTGACGGCCGCGCGATAGTGGAATGATTTAGCTGGCGACAATCGTCGAAACGTCGTCTTTCTTCTTTGACGATTAATTAATTACAATACTGGAATGTGTTTCGCCGTGATTGAGTCTTTCTCTCTAGCGACGTGTCTTGAATTTCGACTCGTAAGTCATCCTTATCGAGTTCGTGGGGAATTAGCGGCGTTATGTTTTTCTCCGAGAAAACCCGAGCGATCGAGTCTCGACGTTAATTGCCGCGTGTTGATCGATAATTGCAGGATATTAGTCGCTTATTGCCCGCGATATCCGGCGAGCGCACGTCGCGCTCGATAATTGTCGCAAAAAAGTCGGTCGTCCCCCATTAAAAGCGTACCCTATTAAAGCGTCCCGTCCTGTTCTTTGCGCGTAATTGACTCGGTTTTCTTTTTTCGCCCCGGAATGCACAAGTACACCGATAAAAGTATCACGCTCTCAGTCCTGGGCAACACGTTTCGACGCGGAAGTAATCTAATATCATTCATCGCCACTTTTAAGTATTACCATTATGCGTTGCGAAGTGAAATTTTTTTACAAACGCAGAGCTAAACGCACGAGGAACGTATGACGTTTTAACATAAAGTATTTCGAGCTGCATGCATTTTATATGTAGGGGAAAAAGGGGGGGATAACTTTAATATATTACTATATCAAGATGTATATTTCAGTCTGCAATTTAGCTTTAATTGCACATGCGGATTACTAGTATTTATAAAACATGCAAAGTCACTGTATATTATTTTTTATGAATAAATATGAACCGGGTCGAATGTGATAATCTGCCGTTATCAAGATTCAAGTCGCGTGCGACTGATCGAGTCGATATATTTAGATGCGGCTCTTTTATACGAGGAGAGAAAAGGACCTCCGTTGCGTTTTGCTCTACTTTTTCATTAGGTTTGTCTAAACAGTTTTCTTCGCATATACGTTATAGTTGTGTTATTTATAACGTTATTAATTAATATAACCGGCAACGCGCGTACAATTATTTATAAACTTTATGTAATGAGAGCTCGATAATATCATTAAAACAATGTTCAACCTGATTAAATATTATCGCGTTACTAAATCAGTTTTTATAAGTACGTGACATACATACTTCCTTCATCCATTTGCTCTCTCTCTCTCTCTCTCTCTCTCTCCTTCATTTATTCATAAATCATTTTTTTTAATCTTCAACTATGTGCGTTGCTTAACAAGAAAAGGATATGTACTTGTGTCATACATGCAATTATTTAATAATCATATGTGGAATGTTAACAGAAAATTCATATAGATATGATTTCATACACAATGTTCTCATCACGATCCTAATATGTATTAGAAATAATTACCTCGCATAATTATTATCAGCAGCAAAAATCTCTAACACGCGCAGCAACATGGCAATGTTAATAACTTAAACATGTTTAGCTAATAATAATAAAACTTGTAGAAAAATATCTAATTATACGCGATACATCTTATTATAACGTGAACATTAACAACGATTTCAGCGATGATTTGGTCCCATCGTTTCGAGATACATGATGGCCAGAAATATATACAAAATATAGTATAAGCTAAAATACGAGTATGAATTGTATATTCCTCGCCCTCGGATTCGCCGATTAACAATTAATGTGGAAGACGGATATAAATGGAAAGCACTAAAATCATACATTAGACTGTTCACGAGCATGATTTGCAAGAATGCGATTCGCAATAAAGCTCCCGAAATTAATGACATGTTTCAAAAGATTACGCAATATTTTTTTTCGATATTAATATTAATTTCATATTAATTTTTTAATTAATCAAGAAATATAAAGAATAATACTCTGTATGTAAGTGTATGTGTATCTGTGTGTGTGTGTGTGTGTATGCGTGCGTGCACATATGTAATAATATATTATACTGTTAGAATATTATACTGTTTTTTTTTCGATGTTAATATTAATTTCATATTAATTTTATATTAATTTTTTAATTAATCAAGAAATATAAAGAATACACTGTATATAAGTGTATGTGTGTGTGTGTGTATGTGTGCGTGCACATATGTAATAATATATTATACTGTTAGAATATTATACTGTTTTTATGAATTATTCAAATTTTTGTAAACGGTTGCAAGCACACGGTTTGGAGCCACACAGTGTTAATGTATAATATTTTTTAAATATTATGCAATGTGTATTATTTTAAAAACATTACAAATTAACGTGGCCTCAAAAAATATATTTCAACAATTCATATAAAAACTTAATATTTAATACATTGTTCTCTCTATACTCGGTTTCTTTTTTAATTGAAAATATTTCCTGCACGCTTTTTCAGCGAATGGAGTTATTAACGAATAAACGAATTAGTTCTCTTATTATATTAATGTGTATCAAATGAAAAATTCTATTACTTCAGAAGCGTCGGACACCGAGGGAAAAAAAGATCGAGAAACATTGTCACGAGGGAATAACCGCGCTAATCGCCGTTGATGCAATCGATTCTGATGGATATTAAATTTAATCGAACGTAGACATTTTTTGCCCATTAAAGTCCCCCGATTTTAATCGCGTTATTATTTCGCGCGATTGTCCGCGCACGCAGCGCAACGTGGCGTTCGATTTTCAATTACCAGGCAAATTCTTCCTGCGACCCTGCTTGTGCAGCGATTTTCCGCGTTGAAGTCTACGGATTGCGCATCGGTTGTCGGTTTCGCGCGCATGCTCCAGAAGAATCATACAAGTGAATAGAA